TCAAAGAACAACTAAAGTTATTGAAATCGCGGTTTAAATGTGCTTTATGAAAATGCTTTCCTTTACGTTCCACGTTTTATTTAAATGACATTATGAGAGTTAACGTTTGGAGACCGTGCGAGACGAATGAAATATTAGGGCCCCACCTGGCCGATTGCCACACCCACTGAGCTGATGAAGTAGCGACTACACCACTGATAATGTAGTCACAACACCACTGATAATGTAGTTACTACACCACTGATAATGTAGTGACTACACCACTGATAATGTAGTCACTAAACCACTGATAATGTAGTCACTACACCACTGATAATGTAGTTACTACTCACTGATAACGTAGTCACTACACCACTGATAATGTAGTCACTACACCACTTATAATGTAGTTACTACACCACTGATAATGTAGTTACTACAACACTGATAATGTAGCCACTACACCACTGATAATGTAGTCACTACACCACTGATAATGTCGTTACTACACCACTGATAATGTAGTCACTACACCACTGATAATGTAGTCACAACACCACTGATAATGTAGTTACTACACCACTGATAATGTAGTCACTACACCAGTGATAATGTAGTGACTACACCACTGATAATGTAGTCACTACACCACTGATATAGTCACTACACCACTGATAATGTAGTCACTACACCACTGATAATGTTGTCACTACACCACTGATAATGAAGTCACTACACCACTGATAATGTAGTTACTACGTCACTGATAATGTCCTTACTACGCCACTGATAATGTAGTCACTACGCCACTGATGATGTAGTCACTACACCACTGATAATGTAGTCACTACACCACTGATAATGTAGTCACTAGACCACTGATAATGCAGTCACTACACCACTGATAATGTAGTCACTACACCACTGATAATGTAGTTACTACACCACTGATAATGTAGTCACAACACCACTGATAATGTAGTTACTACACCACTGATAATGTAGTTACTACACCACTGATAACGTAGTCACTACACCACTGATAATGTAGTCACAACACCACTGATAATGTAGTTACTATGTGACTGATAATGTAGTCACTACACCATTGATAATGTAGTCACTACACCACTGATAATGTAGTCACAACACCACTGATAATGTAGTTACTACACCACTGATAATGTAGTCACTACACCACTGATAATGTAGTCACTACACCACTGATAATGTAGTCACTACACCACTGACAATGTAGTTACTACACCACTGATAATGTAGTCACTACACCACTGATAATGTAGTTACTACGTCACTGATAATGTCCTTACTACGCCACTGATAATGTAGTCACTACACTACTGATAATGTAGTTACTACACCACTGATAATGTAGTTACTACACCACTGATAATGTAGTCACTACACCACTGATAATGTAGTTACTACACCACTGATAATGTAGTCACTACACCACTGATAATGTAGTCACTACACCACTAACAATGTAGTTACTACAACACTGATAATGTAGTCACTACACCACTGATAATGTAGTCACTACACCACTGATAATGTAGTCACTACACCACTGATAATGTAGTTACTACACCACTGATAATGCAGTTACTACACCACTGATAATGTAGTCACTAAACCACTGATAATGTAGTCACTACACCACTGATAATGTAGTTACTACACCACTGATAATGTAGTCACTACACCGCTGATAATGTAGTGACTACACCACTGATAATGTAGTTACTACACCACTGATAATGTAGTTACAACACTCACTGATAATGTAGTCACTACACCACTGATAATGTAGTTTACTACACCACTGATAATGTAGTCACTACACCACTGATAATGTAGTCACTATGCCACTGATAATGTAGTTACTACGCCACTGATAATGTAGTTACTGCACCACTGATAATGTAGTCACTACACCACTGATGATGTAGTTACTACGCCACTGATAATGTAGTGACTACGCCACTGATAATGTAGTCACTACACCACTAATGATGTAGTTACTACGCCACTGATAATGTAGTTACTACACCACTGATAATGTAGTTACTACACCACTGATAATGTATATTCTTAGCTCTTTAGGTAAAGTCAACGTGACTTTACCGAAAGAGCTAAGAATATGAATGACTGCAGTCACGAAAGCTTTAAATCACTGATAATGTAGTTACTACACCACTGATAATATAGTCACTACACCACTGATAATGTAGTGACTACGCCACTGATAATGTAGTCACTACCCCACTGATAATATAGTCACTACACCACTGATAATGTAGTCACTGCACCACTGATAATGTAGTTACTACGCCACTGATAATGTAGTCACTACGCCACTGATAATGTAGTCACTACACCACTGATAATGTAGTTACTACACCACTGATAATGTAGTCACTACACCACTGATAATGTAGTTTACTACACCACTGATAATGTAGTTACTATGCCACTGATAATGTAGTCACTACACCACTGATTATGTAGTTACTACGCCACTGATAATGTAGTCACTACACCACTGATAATGTAGTTTACCACGCCACTGATAATGTAGTTACTACGCCACTGATAATGTAGTTACTACACCACTGATAATGTAGTTACTACACCACTGATAATGTATATTCTTAGCTCTTTAGGTAAAGTCAACGTGACTTTACCGAAAGAGCTAAGAATATGAATTACTGCAGTCACGAAAGCTTTAAATCACTGATAATGTAGTCACTACCCACTGATAATATAGTCACTACACCACTGATAATGTAGTCACTGCACCACTGATAATGTAGTTACTACGCCACTGATAATGTAGTCACTACGCCACTGATAATGTAGTCACTACACCACTGATAATGTAGTTACTACACCACTGATAATGTAGTCACTACACCACTGATAATGTAGTTTACTACACCACTGATAATGTAGTTACTATGCCACTGATAATGTAGTCACTACACCACTGATTATGTAGTTACTACGCCACTGATAATGTAGTCACTACACCACTGATAATGTAGTTTACCACGCCACTGATAATGTAGTTACTACGCCACTGATAATGTAGTCACTACACCACTGATAATGTAGTTACTACAACACTAATAATATAGGCACTACACAACTGATAATGTAGTTACGACACCATTGATAATGTAGTCACTACGCCACTGATAATGTAGTTACTACACCACTGATAATGTTGTTACTACACCACTGATAATGTAGTTACTACGTCACTGAAAATGTAGTTACTACACCACTGATAATGTAGTTACTACACCACTGATAATGTAGTCACTACACCACTGATAATGTAGTTACTACGCCACTGATAATGTAGTCACTACACCACTGATAATGTAGTTACTACGCCACTGATAATGTAGTTACTACGCCACTGATAATGTAGTTACTACACCACTGATAATTTAGTTTCTACGCAACTGATAATATAGTTACTACACCACTGATAATGCAGTTACTACACCACTGATAATGTAGTCACTACACCACTGATAATGTAGTCACTACACCACTGATAATGTAGTCACTACACCACTGATAATGTAGTTACTACACCACTGATAATGTAGTCACTACACCACTGATAATGTAGTGACTACACCACTGATAATGTAGTTACTACACCACTGATAATGTAGTTACAACACTCACTGATAATGTAGTCACTACACCTCTGATAATGTAGTTTACTACACCACTGATAATGTAGTCACTACACCACTGATAATGTAGTCACTACACCACTGATGATGTAGTTACTACGCCACTGATAATGTAGTGACTACGCCACTGATAATGTAGTCACTACACCACTGATGATGTAGTTACTACGCCACTGATAATGTAGTTACTACACCACTGATAATGTAGTTACTACACCACTGATAATGTATATACTTAGCTCTTTCGGTAAAGTCAACGTGACTTTACCGAAAGAGCTAAGAATATGAATTACTGCAGTCACGAAAGCTTTAAATCACTGATAATGTAGTTACTACACCACTGATAATATAGTCACTACACTACTGATAATGTAGTAACTACGCCACTGATAATGTAGTCACTACCGCACTGATAATATAGTCACTACACCACTGATAATGTAGTCACTGCACCACTGATAATGTAGTTACTACGCCACTGATAATGTAGTCACTACGCCACTGATAATGTAGTCACTACACCACTGATAATGTAGTTACTACACCACTGATAATGTAGTTACTACGTCACTGATAATGTAGTTACTACACCACTGATAATGTAGTTACTACGTCACTGATAATGTAGTTACTACGCCACTGATAATGTAGTCACTACACTACTGATAATGTAGTCACTTCGCCCACTATACCTCGTTCCAGGCACCGAGATATTCCACCACTGATCTGTTTGTTCGCCAGGTGGTGCTGGCAGGGGGTGTGTATGTGTGTGGTAGATTAGGAGCTCTGGGTAGTGCTGGCAATGGACGATGTTGTCGGGCACCTGGTGGCGTTGCATGGTCACGTCATGAGAAGCCATGGTGAATGTTGCTTTCCATGCGGCACAACGAGATGGCGCCACACGGCGTAGGGCCTCTTGGCTACGTACGGTGCGAAAGAAGTTCACCACACGTACTCCACATACAACACAGTGGCTGGGAAGGCGAACGCTTTTATCGCCGGTTTTATGGTTAGCAGTTTGTGAGAGCAACTCTTTGATCAGATCAATGTGGCCGGTTTTTTTCTCTCGGACAAATCGACTGACGGCAAGGGGACTTTGCACTAAAAAAAATGGTATCCCTATTGGATGAACTTTACGCACGGCAGAAGGAGAGGCGGACAGCTCTGAAGAACTTGAACATAAATTTAAAAGCATCCCCCCCCCCCCCCCCGCCGTGATAAGCGTCTGTGGTGTTCACTGGTGAAGTGGCTGTACGTGGCACGAGACATAAGACACAGAGACGGTTGAGCCGAGAAGAGACGTCGAAGTTTATAAGCCATCGGGCACACACGTGCCACGTTTTAGAAATCCTCAAAAAGGCACTTGAGTCAATGACAAGTGTCGACAGCGGGAGTTACAATGCTGAACATTGGGTTTAAAGTTTTCTCTAAAAATGTTGTTTTCTAACTCATTTCCGATACAATATATCAAACTTGGTTGTTAAACTTTACGTCGAATGCTAACTTAATGCGATAAACTGATTGCCTTTTATTCTGAATGCTACTCCTACCGACGATTGTAATCACAATGTAGTAAATTGCAGTTATACACCGTGATACAAAACAATCCTCTACTACTCAGGACAACCTTGGATCACGTGATGCACATCATCGCTCTTGTCCGTAAGATGTGAATACGAATCCAGTAGTCAGCTGTTTTCAAAATCACGGTCTCGGTACAAAAGCTAGCGGCGGACAGACATGGACATCAGAGAGAGCGCCTCATTAAATACGTCGTCATCATCATAGCACCGCGATGCGTCTCTGTGTGCTGCTAGGCACGGTGTCCGACGTTTCGCTGCACGTGCTGGGAGCTTCTTCAGGGACTGAATAGCAGCTCCCAGCACGTTTTGCTCCGCGTGGTGCGAAACGTTGGACAGCGTGCCAAGCAGCAGGCGGTAGAACCCGACAACGCATCGGATAGGCGTACAACACGACCGATAAAACCTACGCATTTAGTAAAAGCAGCACCGTCGTAATAATAATTATAATTATGATCTGCTCAGGACTCATAAAAATAAACATCCATTATTATAACTTTACAAAGTCAGTCGTAAGAAAACACGCGCGCACACGCGGATCTATTTAAAACATTGAATTGCTGAAAGACGACAACAAAAAGCAACGCGTGAAACTGCGGTTACTCATTCATTTGGCATCTTCACCTCGAGTAGAAAGGCAATGAACAGTCGACGCGCCGAGCCAAAGGTGCTGCGGGTCGGCACGGCGCCCTCACGGGGAAACCCGGCGAGCTGTACTGCGGAAATTCTGAATACTCCCCTTGTGCTCCGTTTGGCATTTTAACCGAATACAAAACACACACACACACACAACTTTGCTCCAATTTTGGTCTCTGATCAGCCTCCTACGACAATCACGCAATGAAATTACAAACAAACCACCCGACATTAACTAAAGGACCCGCAGAGCTTCCCTCTCCTCCTCTGCCCGTGACCGCCTCTCGTCACGCAGCCGTCTTCAGCCTCGTCCGTCTACCGCCGACACTAAACGCGTCGCCATGGCCAAAGGCGTTGGTGACACCCAGAGCCACCCCGAGGGCTACGGCGAATCGCGGCGACCGTCCCGGGCCCCGCGCTTTTGGGGAGTTCCGCACTTCGTCATCACGCCGTCGGATGGTTATACTCCCGGTTTAGTTTGAAGGCGTGGAGGGAGGGGAGGTACATGCGAGGTGAATTGCCCTGGGCCCCGTACCCCACTCCCCCATCTATAGACGAACCCGATGTCACCACACCTCTTCCACCCTCTGCCAGATTCTCGCAGCTGCTGCGCGGGAGACACGCAGCGCAGCGACCTCCAAGACCTGCCCTGGCCGTCTCCCACCATCTACGCCGAGGTCTTCTCTCCTCCCCATGGTCGCCAGACTCGTGGAGACCGCTCCAATGCCGGGTTTCGGTAACCGGCCCTCAACCCCAAATTTTCACCCACGTGTCTCACTGCACCGTCGTCTCAGTACCCACTCCACCCCTCATTTCCTCCCATCCAAAATAACAAAAGAATCGCTTTTCAAACGATCCCGATGCTTCCATTCCCCCATTTGTATGGCCTCATTCATACGTTATGTAAACCCACATTGCAGAGTCTCTCAATTGGCAATAACGTGCCGTTCGCCGAGTGAGCCCAGATCTGTTCTGCTCACCAAAGTGGCGTAGCTATCGAGTGCACGAGCAGTGCAGCTACTTGCACCGGGGCCTACGTGCCACGGAGGGGCCCAGGCCACTGATCCACCAGCTACTGCCACGTTCCCAATGACCATTCAGATCATTCTCAGAATCGCGGGGCTCGCATGTTAAGAGCCATTTACAACGGGCGGCCTTCGAGTCAAAGATGCTGGTGGCTATCGGTTAGTGCCAGAATAAAGGGGCCACTGTAAAGTCATCAGCGTGCCAAAGCGTCTCCTTATAAACCTCACAGTAGCCTCGAAATCCCAGCATGCATCACTCTGCCGCAGAGTGCACCGCGCTTGGGCAGACGCCAGATCCTCCGACACTTGAGTGGCAAGGCACCGATTCGACGCCTGTCCTCCGGTCGACCGGCTCTCCTTAGTTGCCGGGTCTCGGTTGAAACCCCGTCGTGCCATCGTCATCCTCACCGGATCGTCACGACACCCGAAGTCACCAAACGTCACTTGGGGGCGAGTGCCAGCTACAGCCGGTGGAACCTGCAACGCACGGAAGGAAGGGGACGCACGTGAGCGAAGAAGAGGCGGCGTGCTTTACATCTGTACGTGCGAAGCCACTTCCGGTGAGGTCCCGTCGCTTTTCTTCCAACTCTCGCTCAGCGGCCCAGTGGCTCCGCCGTGCCAAGGAGCCGACCCGAGGGCTCCAACCGCGGCGCTTTCCCTCCCGGCGGCGCTCTGCCGCCGATCCGGAAAACATTAGCCAGTGTTGCTCACCTGGTGAGGTGGCGGCTGTGGTGGTGAACTTCCATTTCGCAGCTCTTGTAGGTGTTGAGCTCTCGACGGATGGCAGCCTGCACGCGCATCGACGTGAGCACAAGCAATGAGCGGCGGTGATGGTGGTGGTGGCAGTTTTTGGTGACAGTGATGGCGACAGTTTCGGTGGTGGCGGTGACGGTGGCGGTGTTGTTGGCAGTGGTAGCGGCTCCTGTGGAGTTGGTGGCAGTTTCTGTGGTGGTGGTGGTGGCGATTGATTGTGACGATGATGTGGGCGGTGTTGGTCGTGGCGGTATCTGCGGTGGCGAGTATTGGCGGTGGCGGTTCGCACCTTGTCGGATGCCGTGAGCCGCGTCCAGGGCTTGTCGGAGCGTCGGTCGTAGTCCTGCACCTCGGTGACCTGCACGGCCTCGCTGAAGCGCAGCGTCCTCTCCCCGTGCAGCGAGCGCTCCGTGGCCTGCGGGGGGACACGCGCCGCGTCAGGCCCTGCCGCTGCAGGCCCACTTGGGGGCTGGAAGCATGAATTATTTTACATGAATCGTAATTTAATCGCATGAAAAAAATCATAAACACATGTTTTACTGACCGTAAGCGTGCTGTGGCCGAAAAAGTTCCAGGGATTCGAATCCACATCGTTTGCTCGTGAAACTAAGCTTCCCCGTGTCCCGTCAGCTACAGCTCCTCCACACAGCTACACTCAGCCTCCCCGTGTCCCCTCGGCTACAGCTCCTCCATACAGTCGACCCCCCCCCCCGCCCATCCAACACTCTGTTAGGTGGGGGTCGTTGAGAATCTGCGTGGTTGAGGATGGGTGCTCTCCACTCACCTTTTTTGTTGCTGGCCACGCCATCTCGGGCTTCGTCTCAACTTCACATTTCTCGATCGTCTCTGGAACAGAAGACGACCGGGCCCTCGTCGTTACCACCCCGCGGGTTTCACAGCGACACTGAAACATTTGCCACGGGTTATTTACTGGACGTCTGTGCCAAAGAGCTTCGTAACTCATCGGATTCCTCCAGTATAAATACATATTCTGATTTTGATAAATGAAATCTACACAGAGCCTGATTTGAGTCCGCTTTGTCTAGTTCGATGACCCGGGAAATATATCCGCACCCGGCACACCACATCCAGTATATACCTCGCTGTGGCTGTGGCTATTAGTCGCACGCCGGCTCTGCCAGCGACACAGTAATTTCTCAGTAAATAAGACCCAGTATAAGGGATGTTTTAGCTTAAAGTTGTGATGCCGCTCAGGAATTTCCCCTCTAGGAACCCAGTCAAATTCATCAGAGGGTTGCCCAAAGCTCGCGATGATGCAATTTAAATGTTCATGACGACTTCCCGTCGGCCTCCATACCGCCAATAAACATTTCCGAGGGAAAAAAAACGCGTGGTAAAAGCGTTCCAAGAATCCATGCGGAAGCATGGTTTTTCTTCCTGGTTTAAAATCCAGCTCGCCGTTGTTGTTGTTGTTAATGATGATCGGTGTGTGCTCCTGTGAGGTCGCGAGCTATACTCGGTGTTTTGATATTGGAACTTTTATAGTATTGGAAACCATGCCAACATTCAGATAGCGTTCGTATTCAGTAAATGTTATTCAAAGAGTTACTTTAGGCTAACGGAATGCAGTAAATACTCTGACAAGAATATAGCCAGACAGCCATACATAAAAAGAGCTCAACAGCAAAATAATTATAAATTCAGGCTGACAACCAAACAGTTAGACAGACAGACAGAGAGACAAAGCAACGAGACTCCCAAACCAAACATCGAGCTAACCACCCGGAGAGATAGGCAAGCAGGCAAACAGTCACTCAGCCAGACAGAAAGTGCGACAGCCAGCCAGACAGAGAACCAGTGAGACGGAGGGACAACCAGCCAGGCGGACAGAAATCCAGACTGGCCGCAAGTGAGAAGGAGAGACTCACGGGCGAGTGAGGCATTGCTGATCTCGGGGTGAACAGGGCTCGATCCGCGGCGACGTCCAAACAACACGAGGAAACGCGGCTGCACCATGGCTGGGAGTCGAGCCCCTTTGACGTGAAGGCAGCGAGGAACCCGGCACGGCAGGGACTCCAGTCGCCAGGTGAAGCAGCCGCATCCGACGCCCTAACGCGCAGTTCCCTCCACGCCACGCGCAGGTGCAGCAGGGAGCTGCGCTGTTGCCGCTGCTACTGCTGCAGTAATGCAGAGGCAAGCGCTCCGTGTTTACTGTGGCCGCTTGGAGTCGTGACTGCCGCTCCGCTCCATGATGTTCTAAAATTGCCTTGCGATGTTGACACAAATAAAAACAAATATTGCGGGGGAGGGGGGGGGTAAACACAAAAATTGTTCTAGCGGTAGCAATTGATGCGTGGAGGAGTCGGGTTCTCCAATGTCAATAAAACCTCGCGTTTCGTTGCGTGTTGGGAAAACTGCTGCCAATCAACGGCACCAAAATGATAATAATCCGAGCACTTGCTGCAGATGTTTCAGATGATGATGTTGTTGTTTTTTCTCCCACAGTCCACGCCGTCGGCTCAGTTTTCCGACTCATCTGGCGCCCAGATGAGATTCCCCCGCAGCCTCGAGTCTGGCACGCAGATTATACCGCCCCCTGCTTAAACGCACATATTTTCGAACCGCAAACAATGAAATCAAACAATTCGGGAATTCCACCGAAGCCTTGGATGTGTTTTTCTCTCTCTCTCCCTCTTAAAGATGCCCAAATTAGTGAGTGGCAGGTCGTGATCTGCAAGTGGTGCACGAGGAGATCGTCTCCCGTTACAGCCGTGACGTCTTCAACAGTCGTAGCAGGCTACTTTGCAGCAGGAGTGCACTTGGACAAGGCACTGCGGTCGAAAATCCCACGCTTTCGGCTGAATAAAAATAAATGCATACGAGCGTAGGACAACAACAACAGCAGCAGCAAACAACAACAACAACGATGATAACAACCGCCGGCGGGCTCGGATCGCGGCGCTAATGAACGCGCGCACGGCAATTAAGAGAGGAGTAGAGGTTGTCACGAGTCTGCGAGCCACGACTGGGCAGTCAGAGCCGTAATGGAGGAAGGGTTGTATGGAGAGAGGCGGTGGGAGGTGGGGGGGGTATTATATATTTACTCGTGTTAACACCTTCCCGGCGCTGCTGGGCTGGTGACCCGAACGCTATCGCTGTGGGTCACCGACCCAGTGGCGTTAACAAGGAGGCAGAGGGCGCAGCACCCGCGATTTCTCGCCCGCGCCGCTGCTGGCGGAAGGCCCCTCCACTAGAGGGCGCTCGAGACAGCCCCTCGAGCGGGGGGTTCTTTTGGCCTGCGCCTCCACGCTGGCCAGGTGCCTCGGAAGAAGTGACAGTCACCCACGCTTCATCTCACCGCACGCGACCTGCCCCACACAGACTGGCGTACTGTGGCGAACCCATTTACACTGCTCAGTGGACAGAGGCGGTGGTGGTGGGGGTGGTGGGGGTGGAGGGGTTAGGGGGGTTTAAGAAAATCCCACTGGTGTTTAACTGCCAAGCCGGGAGATACAATTGACATGACAGCATCCCCCCAGGCGAGTAATAATGCCATTTGTTTACCTGTCCATGGAAAGCCTCATTGAGTCGCAAGACTCTGTTTTCAGGAGTGCCCTGCATTGGGATGCTGGGCGCGCCAATTCTATGAATTATGGCATTGCACGTGGGAGGACATTTGGAGTGCGCGGAAAAGGACCCACGGCCTGTACGAGCAGGACAACACTGAAAGTCTGCACAGGTGAGCTCACAAACCCACGTGCTGTACTGCCCATCTTTTAGCCACCTTGCAGCCCAGTGAGTTTGGGAGATCCACAAAGCTGTGTGGTCTGTACCAACCGATGGGTTCGATGTGATGGCGTACAAGGCTTGCAACAAGACAAGGACATGTACACGTGTGCACATATTTTGACAAACTTTCGTGACTACAGGAATCCATATTCTTTGGTTCTTTCGGTAAAGTCACGTGGATAGAAAAATAGTAATAATACAGTGAATACAAATAAAATGATCAAATTAAAATAAAAACCACGACGTTTCGATCGCAACACGAGCGGTCGTCACTTTATTATTATTTTTCTATCTACGTGACTTACCGAAAGAACCAAAGAATACGTGTGAACATATCATACAGCAGCCATGCTTTCCCAGGTACGTGTACAGCTCTCTGTCAATCCACAGCTGGATGAGGCCCCCCCACACCGTGTCAATCGTGGGAGTTATTTGACCATACTTCACCACGCTGGTCAGTGCAGGTTAGGTTGGTGAAGGAAGGTGAACAGGTTAGGGGTGACTCATACATACTTTTTCCCACTGATGTTAGCCATAGCCAGGAATCTATCTCAGGTAACAGCGTCCCGCCTTTGAGTTAAATAATAACGATTAGCCAGGATCAATCCACTGCTGGATTAAAACTAATCAAAGATTACTCCATCCATCACAGCCCCCGCGATTCACGAGTCTGCAAATTGTAACCTGTGACGCGGAATATGAGGACCGTTTAAAAAATGACCTTTGTAGGCAATGCCCCATTATCAATTACAAAAAAGAGCTCATGCCATTTACAGCCGTACGTTATTATGCAGTGTCAACGATTCCCAGTGGCATTTGCACGCACGAGGTTACACACCAGGCATGGTTTCAATATTGAATCTCAGCACGATGTGGTCCCTTAACCCACTGTCAATTGAGGTCCGGCGATGTTGGGGCAGCTAAAGATGCCCCATGATGAATGGGTCCACAGCCAAACATCCCGAGAGAGAGGGGCGCTCCTGAACGAGAGTCTTGAGACTCGGTCAGGAAAAATGACATCGCTCCACCAGGCACACGTAATGTGCTGCAGGGTTCAGCACATTGCATAGAGATGCATTTGTGCTATCTTAGTTATTTACATTAAACACTTCATAATACACATTATTATCTCATTCTGAATAAAGTCAATAACAGCGGTGGTCCAGACGCGCTCTCCACAGCCTGGAACTCCCCTCCCCCAGCATCCCGTGCTGTCGACTCCGTGTGACTGTTCGAGTCCAGACTCAAGACCGTTCCACTTCTCCCCTGCCCATGGCTGGCTGCCTCTCTCGCTCTCTCTCTCTCTGTGAAATCCTGTTGCTCAGTTTCCGTGCCTCGTCTTGAGATGCGACCGCTATGCCACTCCACAGTTTGTTGTTGCACTACAAGCCGCGCTTCAATCACATTCGACACCCAGTCCAAACGCTGTTAAGCCTTCAAGATCAGCTGAAATTATAATTTGACCTTTTTGTGCGTTGAGTACAGTAAATGCAGGGTTCATAATTTGCATTGTAAGTTTTAAAAAAAAGTTACGCACTCGAATGACGGTAATAATAATAACTTATTTACTCAGGAAAACTGATGTTCCGCTTCGGGCGGGTTCTGTATTGAAACGTTTGGCCAGCACCAGTTACATTGTGTATGTGTTTAGGGTTCTGTATTGAAACGTTTGGCCACCACCAGTTACATTGTGTATGTGTTTAGGGTTCTGTATTGAAACGTTTGGCCACCACCAGTTACATTGTGTATGTGTTTAGGGTTCTGTATTGAAACGTTTGGCCACCACCAGTTACATTGTGTATGTGTTTAGGGTTCTGTATTGAAACGTCTGGCCACCACCAACACATACACACATTGTGTATGTGTTTAGCTATGAGAGGAAACTGGAGACGCCGGAGGAAAGCCACGCACAACAGGAGAAGAAGACAACCTCCACTTAGAAAGGCACCCGGTTTGGGAATGTAACCCGGGTGTTGCTTGCTATGAGGAATGAGTGTCACCACGACGCAACCCTGGAGAAGGAAAAAAAAGACGCTGGTGATGGAGGTGAACACCCGAAGGAGCTAGGAGAAGAGGAAGACAAAAATCTACCCGGACATCAAACACTGGACGGAATGGAAGACGTCTCAGCTGAGAGACGGAGCGACGGACAGAGCAGAGGAGAGGCGCTGCAAAAAAGGCCGGCCGCAAGGATGAATAAACATTCAGTTTCATTTATTTCAGTTTCATTAATTTGGTATAGCCCTGTGAGCCATTCGGCTCTTGCATCGAGTGCAACCGCAACAAACCAAAAACATGAACAAGAAAACATCTTAAAGTGACTATGCGCAAACAGAAAAATCCAGGAAAAAAACAGCAAAATCTTCCAGAAAAAGCACCGTACACCAACGCTGTGTGCAAACAATCCCAGTGGGATGCAAGTCAAACAACATCGGCGAAGGGACGAGAAGGCCAGAGGAGGATCGCGGCAAACGCCTCTCCGCTTGACTGGCCAGCGAATGTCCATCGCTGGAGGCGGGCGTCCGGGAAGGGGTTAAGCGGTTCGGGATCTCGAGCGGCGGCAGCGCGCGGCACGACTCAAGGGACCGCGGGGAGGGGCAGCGCAGCGGTGGGAGCGCCGCTGATGGCATCGCTGACAGCAGCATACTGATAGCGGCAGACATCAGCATACTGATAGCGGCAGACATCAGCATACTGATATCGGCAGACATCAGCATACTGATAGCGGCAGACATCAGCATACTGATAGCGGCAGACATCAGCATACTGATAGCGGCAGACATCAGCATACTGATAGTGACATCAGCATACTGATAGTGACAGACAGCAGCATACTGATAGTGACATCAGCATACTGATAGTGACAGAAGCATACTGATAGTGACATCAGCATACTGATAGTGACAGACAGCAGCATACTGATAGCGGCAGACATCAACATACTGATAGCGGCAGACATCAGCATACTGATAGTGACATCAGCATACTGATAGTGACATCAGCATACTGATAGTGGAAATCAGCATACTGATAGTGACAGCAGCATACTGATAGTGACATCAGCATACTGATAGCGACATCAGCATATTGATAATGACATCAGCATACTGATAGCGACATCAGCATACTGATAGTGATATCAGCATACTGATAATGACATCAGCATACTGATAGTGACAGCAACATACTGATAGTGACATCAGCATACTGATAGTGGTAGGAAGCAGCATACTGATACTGACATCAGCATACTGATAGTGACATCAGCATACTGATAGTGACAGACATCAGCATACTGATAGTGGTAGACATCAGCATACTGATAGCGGTAGACAGCATACTGATAGCATGTGCACTGATGATAGCTGAGCATTGACCACAAAGAAACACGGGGATAGAACTGGTAGCACCACACCCATTGCAATTATTATGAGCCTATTGATCGCAACGATAGGAGCATGCTGATCTCGATGCTTAACTCAGAGCACATTGAGTGAAAATTACAGATTGAAGCGAGAGAATGTTTATGCAAACGCCATGATGACATTGATTAAAGCACAAGGATTGCAATAATATCTGCGCATTCGCACCAACATCTATCATTGTCAGACTGCCAGCCGCACGCCGATTGCATTGTGAGAAGGCCATTGCTAACAGCACACTGATGTTAATGCTAAAACACATTGATGTCATCATAGCGGCACATTCACTGCAGAGATAGGACCGCATTGATAGGATCACACGGATTGCAGTGATACACACACACACGCACACTTATTGCAGATTATAACAGCACGTTGGTTGCGATGCTATGATCATGCTGATCGCACTCATTGTGATAAGCAGGAGCTCATTGATTGCAGTGATAGTATCGCACTGATTGCAACGCCATAGGAACACGCCGATTGTACTGACAGAATGCATGCAGCCCACTGACCCAGCGTGCCCTGATCGAGAAATAGCAAGCAGTGAACCTCGGAATATGTTAACGGAGATGTGCGATAACAACATTTGCATGAGCACATGGTGTACACAAAGACAAAGACCCTCCGTATAGCCTCTAACAGACTGTTGGGGCAAGTGCTGTTAGCGAGCACCTACGAAGCCCGGCACGGCACACGAGGGGGTCGGTGGCCAACGCCACGCCCGGCCGCCTTTGTCTCCCCAGTGGTGATGTTTACAGACCACGTCCGGTACTCGTTTGAGGCAGAGTCGACCTAGGGGAGGCCCATGACCGGTTCAGATAACCGTCACGCTACACGCGTGCACACGCACATGCATGCACGCACGTACACGCACGCACACGTGCACCTACGCTCACAGCTACCCGTACATGCAAACCCCTTTAATTACTGGCCACGGACGCACGGGCAGAATAACAATTTGAATGCAACAGCGGCTGTGCAGGGTGCTGGTCTGCGCTCACAATAGGCGATCGCAGACTGCGGCACGCAGGCGGGCAGGGCTGGGTGCGCGCGCGCGCTGCACTGCACTGCGATGCTGCTGCTGCTGCATTGCAACACTTGCGAGAGGAGGGGGGAGAACGCCAATGCTCGGGATTTCCCCGCTCTAAATATAAATCAATAATGAAGCCAACGAGGAACCGGGAGAGCCATATTCATCGCGGTGACAGCCTGCAAATCCCCCTTCCCCCCCCCGTATTCCTTAAATGCGGACACTACAGCAGATAACGCCGCGGCATCTGTTAAGACCGTTCATTTGTTTGCTGCATTCTCGCGTGCCACTGCAATGCCACATTTTTGTGTTGGCTTTAATGATGCCACTCATTGTTAATCATTGAATGCAGAAAGGGCCCACATGGTGGTGGTAGGGGGGGGGTGAATGGGCAGTTTCCCCCCCCCCCGGACCCCCCACTCCCCACACGATGTTTCGAGATGGCCGCGTTGCAAGTCACAGACCATCTCTATGGCAGTTCACCGCCGCCACCCTAAGGCTTGTGTCTATCCACTGCTGGATGGAGGCCTCCTCCCCCTCCCCCTCCCCAAGACGCCACTGCCGCCCCCCGCCTCCTCTCGCGATCGATGCCGCGGTGATGCAACGAACCCCTCCCGGCACCTTGCAACACACGCGGGCATCTCTCAATAAATGTAAAATTGAAGATATTATTAGAAGAGGTAATAACTATAGATGCATAATTTAGTGTTAGATGCAGGCAATATTGTATAGTGGAGACGTAATATGCATGCAATCACCTTTGTTTCCAGAAATCATTAATCTTCTTCCGAAATTTGGTCCCTATGATATTTTTCGCTGGGTGCGAATCATTAACGACTGGGATCGAGGAGGAGCAGGTGGAAGGAGCAGGGGGATGTTGGCTGCCCCTGTGGTCGAGGCTAACGACGGAGTGCCACTCGAAGGTGCCCAGGGTGGCTCAGAGGTCAGAGCGCTGAGCTGGCACCGCCGCTCAGAATCCTAGGTTCGAATCCAGGATCCAGGTTGCAGCTGCCTGTGGTTAAAGCGGCGTCCCAAGTGCGGCGAATTGACTGTCTCAGCCCTGGTCACACAATGACCGCACACACACACACAGTGACCGCACACACACACAGTGACAGCGCACACACACACAGTGACCGCACACACACACACACAATGACCGCACACACACAAAATGACCGCACACACACACACAGTGACCGCACACACACACACAATGACCGCACACACACACAAAATGACCGCACACACACACAGTGACCGCACACACACACAATGACCGCACACACACACAGTGACCGCACACACACAAGGCCATCACGTATCGTGTGGTTGTGCGCGGCAAACACTGCAGTACTCCCAGATGGCAGAGCGGGTGGGGGAGACACTGCGCCCTTGCTGTGCTGAGCAGTGGCCGCTCTGGTGGAGTTGATGCCACTATGGTGGAGTTTCGATTTAAAGCTGTCGTGACTGCAAGGATTCATCTTCTTTGGTTATTTCGGTAAAGTCACGTAGAATGAGAATAAAATAATAAAATAAAACAATAAAATTCTCACGACGTTTCGGCGACAAGTGGCCTTCTTCAGGTGAAAGGAACAAACCTGTCGAGACGACAGAGCTCCAATGAACGCTGCTAAGATTCGCAGCGTCTTTTAAGCTGGTTGAGAGAAGTGAGGCAACCTTGACAAAGGGGTTTACATATCAAACAGGAGAATTTAGCATTGAAACAGTTGAGGGATTAGCTTGTGACTGGTCACAGAAATAGTTATGTTAAAGTCAAAGCCTACACATCCACAGAGGCACCTAGTGCATGGACGCCAAAGGGGCTGCAACAACTCAACTATCATACAGTAAACCGATGTGAAAAAAAAACCTAAGTCTAAATTACATCAATATAATAAATGTACTCAATATATTCTTCAATAAGCAGCGCTATTAACAGCAACTGGGTATACACTACACTATATAATGAATACCATATAGTAAACAGATAAAAAAAATATAAACTACCTCAATGTTATCAATAAACTCTATATATTCTCCAATCAGCTGAGCTACCAACAATAAGTCGTTATATATCACGATGCTATATGGCGAAAAAATGGGTGGAGTCTTACCCTCCACATCAGCACCACGGACCGCTATGGTGGAGTTGATGCCACTATGGTGGAGTTGATGCCACTATGGTGGAGTTGATGCCACTATGGTGGAGTTGATGCCACTATGGTGGAGTTGATGCCACTATGGTGGAGTTGATGCCGCTCTGGTGGAGTTGATGCCACTCTGGCGGAGTTGATGCCACTATGGTGGAGTTGATGCCACTATGGTGGAGTTGATGCCACTCTGGTGGAGTTGATGCCACTATGGTGGAGTTGATGCCACTATGGTGGAATTGATGCCACTATGGTGGAATTGATGCCACTCTGGTGGAGTTGATGCCACTCTGGTGGAGTTGATGCCACTATGGTGGAGTTGATGCCACTATGGTGGAGTTGATGCCACTATGGTGGAGTTGATGCCACTCTGGTGGAGTTGATGCCACTATGGTGGAGTTGATGCCGCTCTGGTGGAGTTGATGCCACTCTGGTGGAGTTGATGCCACTATGGTGGAATTGATGCCACTCTGGTGGAGTTGATGCCACTATGGTGGAGTTGATGCCACTATGGTGGAGTTGATGCCACTGGTGGAGTTGATGCCACTCTTGCCTCACGGCAAGAAGCCCCTGCGTGCAATTCTTGTCTCGGGTGCTATTCTGCGCGGCGTTTGAATGTTCTCTCCCCCTGTTCTGCACGGGTTTTTTTTTTAATCTGCACAGCACTTTGAATAGCATCCTTTGCACGAAAGTGCTGTAGAAATAAAGACTTGAGCGATTGATTTAGTATAAGTAAATGTTACTGCTATTGTCCGAAAATAAAAAAAAATAAACGATTGTTTATTTTTTTTGGGAACCTGCAAACTTAGTCGATCGGGACTACACGCACAGCCCTCTCCTGTCAACCCTCGGCAGGACCCTCCTGCAAACGAGTCATGTGAACCTCAGTGAGGCTGCAATGGTCTGAGACCGCTTTCTTGTTATTTTCGCTGCCTTGCCCAATCTTGATAATTCAGAATGATAAAGTTAATGTATTATTACTTATTGATATTTAGTGACTTGCTCCGCGTGTTCTCCATTCTGCACACCGTGTCGTCCCGTCTCTGTGTGTTGTTTACTGTTGTAACTCGCTGCTGAACCCCGTGCCCCAGACTGCGAACATATTTGAGAAAAAAGAAAAGAGCTTCAAAGATAATTGGATTCCTCCTCCTCCTCCTCCCACAGTCTAAATAAAGATTCCGATTCTGATTGACCGTGTAAACAATGCGATGGTTGTTGTTGTTGTTGTGCAGGGCGGGTTGTGAACGGCGTAAATAACGCGGCCAGAAGCCGCCGCAGTGGAAGCCGCTCATAGAGGGGAGGGAGCAGAATGAATGACGTCGCAATATGAACACACACACACACATATACCACACGTGTTCATATCCACACACACACATATATACCACACGTGTTCATATCCACACACACACACATATACCACACGTGTTCATATCCACACACACATATATACCACACGTGTTCATATCCACACACACATATATACCACACGTGTTCATATCCACACACACACATATACCACACGTGTTCATATCCACACACACACATACCACACGTGTTCATATCCACACACATATATACCACACGTGTTCATATCCACACACACACATATACCACACGTGTTCATATCCACACACACACATACCACACGTGTTCATATCCACACACATATATACCACACGTGTTCATATCCACACACACACATATATACCACACGTGTTCATATCCACACACACACATATATACCACACGTGTTCATATCCACACACATATATACCACACGTGTTCATATCCACACACACACATACATACCACACGTGTTCATATCCACACACACATATACCACACGTGTTCATATCCACACACACATATACCACACGTGTTCATATCCACACACATATATACCACACATGTTCATATCCAGACACATATATACCACACGGATTCATATCCACACACATATATACCAGACGGGTTCATATCCACACACACACAACACACCAGGTACTAATTTGAGGCTGAGTTGACCTAGGGGAGGCCCATGACCGGCTCAGATAATCGTCACTGGTGTTGGCCGTGAGCGGAAATCGAACTCGGGCCACTGGGTTCGTAGCGCAGTGCGCTAACCGCTACACTACCGCCCCCCACACACACAAATAACACCACACACAACAACCGCCATTCACCACTAAGTGGCGGTGACGTTACCACGACGCTTGTGCCAGGCCATGTGCACCTTGAGGCCACGTGAAGTGTCGAACGCCCGCGGGCAGGAGGTCACGGGGCAGACCCAAATACCACGGGTCGACTGACTGAGATGACTGGCTGGTGCACCACCTGCTGTGCTTTAGCTACCCGGCGCTCCGCTCGTTGTTGTGAGCGTCGCTCCTCCGCCCTCCGTTGTTGTTGGAGGGCGACTGCCTCCAACTGCCCAGTAGCGTCCTTCACGTGCCTCCTCCACAGAGGCCGATCTTGACACCGCTGGTACCAGTAATCGGCAAGTCACATCAGCTCCATGTCCTCCTGTACCACATCACTCCATCTCTTCTCTAGCCCGTGCCGCGCCAGTTTAGCCCCCTCGATCCGGCCGGACAAAAGCTGTTTCGGCATGCGGTGGCTGGGCATGCCGGCTACATGACCCAGCCAACGCAGCCTTGCCTGCCGGAGGAACTCACCGATGGGACCTTGCCCAGATCTTTCAAGGATTTTTGAGCTCCTCACACAATCCAGCCTGGTTAAACCCAGGATGGATCGTAGGCAGGCCAGCCTAAATGTTTCCAACCGGCAAAACAACCCCCTACCTCCTCGCGGTGCCGGACGGGCAACTCTGTCGTGGACAATGCTGTGGGGGGAGGGCCAATTCCGATTGGCTCCTCCCCTCATGGCGTCTGTGTCCACCACAGTGGCTAAACGGGGGCTCTGGACGGGTGCGAGGGGCTGGTAACCCCTCCACCTTCAATTAATTACCACTAAACCACGAGTTAAACTGAAATATGTAACTAATAAACTTGTGCCGGAGGCCCCGGGGAGACAGGTGTCTATGACACACGTACACACACGTACACACACACGTACACACACACGTACACACACCACGTACACACACACGTACACACACCACGTACACACACCACGTACACACACCACGTACACACACACACGTACACACACACGCACGTACACACACGCGTGCCGCAAGCACTCAGCCTCGTGCGTCATGGGGGGGGGGGAATCAATAGTTCCTGAAGAACTGCATTGTGGTCTCAGTCCTTTGTGGTCCTCTTATGGCCCTCTTGTTCCCTCGACAAGAGAACATCGATGCATTTCTTCAGGAACGTTTGATGAGTTTGTTGTTGTTGCAAAACGCATGAAGCCGAGCGCTTTGTTTAGTACACGGTGTTGTGTTGCGTGTTGGGCGCAAGCGAAACACGTGGACAGAGGGGGACGGACCCAACGCAAGAGACGTCACACATCTGGCTGCCGCCTAACGATGCTGGTTATAATTACTGGCGAAACGTCGTACTGAGATTGTAAATGTTGTGGATTTTCTCTCCAATCACACCGCTGTGCTGAACTCATAACGAATTGGCACGTTCTGTTCACGTGACAACCCTTACTAATTGGCTGTGTTAGGTGGTGACGGGTTTATCGACACGTTCATATATTTACGCGATCTAACCCCAAAACAACTTCTCGCCGCTGCCTCTCGAGCCATCAACGGGAGGGTGTTGGCTGAACCCCCCGCACGGGGCAGACGGGCGAGTGGGTATGGGGCAGCAGAGGGCAGTGGCGAGATAGAAGAGAGTCGGTGAGATGCGGAGTCGGTGAGATGCGGAGTCGGTGAGATGTGGAGTCGGTGAGGTGCGGAGTCGGTGAGATGCGGAGTCGGTGAGATGCAGAGTCGGTGAGAGCGGGTAGTAGGAGATGCAGAGTGTTGGTGAGAGCGGGTAGTAGGAGATGCGGAGTCGGTGAGATGCGGAGTCGGTGAGATGCGGAGTCGGTGAGATGCGGAGTCGGTGAGATGCGGAGTCGGTGAGAGCGGGTAGTAGGAGAAGCAGAGTGTAGGTGAGAGCGGGTAGTAGGAGCAGAGTGTGTGGTGACAGTGGAAGACAGTCATATGAGTGCCTACAACGGCTGCGAGAGTGGGATTAATAAAGTGTAAGCAGGTGACCTGTTACTCCGTGTCAGTGCGAGTAATTTCAAAACACTGCAATAGGATAGTCTCTGGGCTTTTGCGAGTCACCCACTAAATTAAATATTAACATGACTGCGAGTTTAACGTGTGTGCTGCTACCACTCATTTAATGCATCCATTAATGCCCCATTCATAAATCAACTTGCCAGTCGGTCGAGCCAGCGTTGTTATAATTAGCGCCCCTTGCCACCCCCCTTACGGAAACAGATTTATCCAACTGTCAAGAAGAGTCCCCAAGCAGAGACCACAGGACCCCGTCGTATATCCGAACCTCGGGGAACCGAGGTGTAGTCGAAAATACGCGAAAAGGTCAGATTGATGTGAACCTTCACAGAAAACGCCTGGCGCACCGTGCGTGTGCACTAGAGTTTAGTTTGTGGACCTTCCACCGCACCACCGATTGGCACGGTTGGCTACGTACGGTGCGAAAGAAATTCATTGCCTACAGGCGAACCCACCCGGAATGCACCCAATCTCATCACCATGGCCGGTTATGATGAAGTCGTTAAAACATAGGCATCGTCAGCCATGCTCTACCCACTCTTGGACGAACGCCTCTCAAAGCCATCGCCATCTCTCCCCAGGTGCCGAGGACGCAACAATCCATCAAGCTCCCGCAATAGGGCGACGATTCCGACGCTCCGTCCCCTTCGCGGCGGTCGCTCTCTCCCAGGCGTCATTGTGAGAGCAAAGCCGCAGCGTGGCAGGTGGCGACGGTTTGGGGAGGCCTTCGTCCAGCGGTGGATAGAACAAGGCTGACTAAAGGATATCGTTCGCCATAGCCCTACCGACCCCCTCTGCGGTACTGCCTTTGCTGCGAACTGCGCGTTCCCTGCCGAACAAATCTTCACGGTGAGGCTGCTCTGCCAAGCCTCTAACCGGTTGTCTTTAAAGAGGCTCTCGCATTGTGACCCCCCCGCCCCCGCCGTGTTCAGTCCAACAAGTCTGTTTCGCAGCACAAATTAAACGCGTTACAATAAATAAGCGCCTTCTATCGCATTCCAAGGTTATCGCCGATGGAAAAGGACTAAAGTGTACCTTGATCTATATTTCACGAGTTTCTCGCCGCCAGCACAAACTGTTTTGCAAAATGTCACTTCGGAGAAGCGTTTAAAGCGAACACGGGAGCCAGCACAGGGGTGAGGAAGGGCCCTCGTATCAGCGGTGATCATCAAAGAGGGGAACATCTTCTGAACAAAAGGTCAATGCCACACCTCGTGGGCCAAAAAAAAAAGAGGCCCTCGCTGGGCAAGCGGAGCCATCCTCGACCTTTCATCGCTTCGTCGCTTCAGGCTTCGGCGTTATCTTTTTTGTTGTGCTCGTGCGTTAGCCGCTGCACATTTAAAACAAATTTAATTAAAAAAAAAGAATAGACGCCTACAGATAGTAGAAAAAAACGGGGAGGGAAGAAAAGGCACGGACCGGTGTGGTCGCAAATAGAGACCACGCCGTTGGCTCATTGGAATTGACATTTATTGATAAAAAGGTATTTTATAATCCACATTAAGGTCACGTGACAAGTGCACAAACAGAATAAAAGTGGATTTTAAACGGTGAACAGGTGATCCCAGGAGCCCTACATATATTTGGAAGGGTGACTTTCACCAAGTTGTCACACGTGTAACCAGGGATAAAGTGATTCCACAACCCAGTAAACCCTTTTACCCTTTTTCCACCGCACAACCGAGCCGCTCTCGGGCCGTGCCGAGCCAGCCTAGCGCGACTCGGACGCACCGGGTCGTTTTTCCACTGCAGAAGCAGAGCCATGCCACTGACGTCACTGACGTCACTCGGAGTCGCTGTGTCTTCAGCGTATTGACTGACATCACTAACAATGACCGCGTCATTATCCCCGCCCCTGGCCCTGCCTGGCCCCGAGCCAGATTACAGAAGTCCTGCGAGGCAAGCAGGGTATCACGGCTTGGTTCCGGCTCGGCATGGGTAACGGCCCGAGGAAAGCCCCGTGAGGGTACCCGCGCTGGCACGGCTCGGGTGTGCCAGTGGAAAAGGAGCATTTGTGCATCATCACAAACATTCATCAAAACATTCCGAGGTTAAAATGCGTCACGGCAAAAATGTGGTTCACTCCAAAAACACCGAGGCAAACTGAATTTGAATAGCATTATTATTTTTTGGACTCCAGTTAACTACTCTACACGGTAAATTATAAGGCACGAGTTTAGGTTTTATTTCACGTGAAATGAAAAGTTGCACGTAAACAAACACAACAACGAAGCACAATCGTAAAAATAACAACACAGAGGGAATGTGCAGGTTTCTCTTCCAGAAGTCGTTTTTACAACCGCCGCTACCGGTAAGCCTCGTGTTCACACCACAACCAGTCTGCAAATCCGAGTCGACACACGCGCCATCGCTTGCGTGTAACTTGGTCGCGTGTCGGGAGGCGATGGCCGAGTTGCGCGAGCTCGAGAGCGATTCGGTCGAGCAACTGATCGTTGGGACGTGGAACCTCGAGGGCGGCCGTTGGAATGATAGAGCCTTGTACCCGTGACTGCGCCCCACGGGGAGGGGTTGTAGAGTCAACGATACAATGCATGGAAAATTATAAAAGGAACGGGAAAGGGAAGAGAGAAGAGAAAGAATGGGAAATAGGGGGAAAAGGAGCGGAGAAACGGCAGCAAAGGGTCGGGAGAGATGAGGATGGGGAGGGAGAGGCTGCATCTGGGACTCGATGCTGCTGCTGCTGCACGGAGGAGAGTCTGTTCTCACAGCGGGCCGGGTGAGGCGAGGGGTCCAGAGTGGGGGTGGCCACACAGAAGTCACGTGATTTACAAAAGGATTGAGACGATTTAGAAACACGAAATAGACGTGACGGTGAATCAGTAACAGACTGGTCCAGTGCAAGGTTTATCGGGTAGCAAAGGGAAGGAAAATAAATAATAACTGCTGTGGTATTTATTACTTGATACATTTGCTACACAGTAAACAATTACAGTGTCTTGAGAAGGCCCATGACCAATTCAGATAATCGTCACCTGGCGTTGGCTGTGAGCATAAATCGAACTCGAGTTGCCGAGTATGTAGCGCAGCACGCTAACCGCTACGCTATCACTCCCCACATAAATATACACAAACACACACAACACCCACGTCCGCAACGTCCAATAACTTAACTACAGTGATGTTGTAAATTAAAAACATGAAGTGTAAGGAGCCACATTTACGGCCATCGAGTGGCCGACCAAGGTCCTCTAAAGAAGTGTCACTCACCGCATGCAACATCTGCGGCTCTTCAATGAAACAGAGCCGCACGGTTTGACAATAACAATGAACCACGGAACCCCAGTCCACTACGGGACGTTCCGTGCGATCGTCGCGTGCGCTCAGGCCGAATGGACGACGAATTGTGAGGACCAAGCAAACCCACTGGCCGGCGTGCGGCGCATCCGAGCTGCATACTCGCCAAGAGCTCTGGGGGTGGTGTGGTGAGGCGCGCGCTGCCCGATAAGACAAACAAAAAAACGTTCCGCTACGAGCCACTAACCGTGGCCGACACGTCACAACGTTTCCCCGGTGTTTAAACCTCCTAAATGAGCGGTGGAAGGGAACTGAGAAACCCGCAGGGCAGATAAGGCACGTGACCTCATTTCATACACGGCCAGCACACGCACACACACGAGGCCTACAACTTCGAAAGCTGCCTGCAGTGGACATTTATCCATCGCTGGAAGCATCTTAGCCGTACTAAATCGGGAAGTAGAGTTGAATGATTGCAACCTGTGTGTGTTAATGTGTGGCCCACCAAAGGTGTTTGCGAGCAGTCCTACGTGGCTCTCGGCAACGATGAAGTTCACCAGGTCCAAGTTACTGCAAAGAATTCACACGCGGGCTGACTCGCGGCATCCAAAGAGCTGCAGAATATCACTCTCAATAAATAATCCAACTGCACTGAGACGCGAGTAGCCGCAACCCCACATTCCCGAGTCTGAAACCCTCGCGGGCAATCCTCGTTGTGCTGCACCCAGTGCCGTGCGGTAAGATAAAGATGCAGCCCTGCAATAGTCCGCTCACGCCACTGGTGGTGGGACTCCACCAGACAAGAGCCCTATAGAGAGGCACCTCAAGAGGAAATAATCTTGGCCTACTCTTCCACGCTGGTCAGACATCTAGGAAGAGGTGAAAAGTAACTGCCACTTTACGCCACCACACCGGTTAAGGCCCACTAAGCTATGTAGCTATTTTTAAGAAGTGACCTGGCCACAAATGATAGCTAAACAAAGTGGCTTATCACGTGGAAATTTCCATCAGCCAAACGCTCTGAAATGCATGGTGATTCTAAATGCAGAGGGAAAAAATCAAGAGGACCCGGAGAAAAATCCACGCGACCACGGGGAGAGAGACACCGCAAACTCCAAATATACCGACGTCAGGGTGGGGATCGCACCCACGGCCTCCTGTACACCAGGCGAGGTAGTTAACATCTCCGAGCCACCGTGGCGCCCCATCACCGCCAGCCCGTCAGGCCGCCACGTTCGGCGTAGCGGCACAAGCGCGTTGGAACGCCGCTCCCGCCGCAATGCCACGCACTTTGCTTCGGCTGTCAGCGGACTCGAAATGCCGTGGCCTTTGAGCGATCGATTACTGCACAGGCTTAAGACACCGCTGGAGTGAACTCGGAAGACTTATGCAATGCGTATTGGCGAAGCAAAGGGATATCAATGGCAATTCAATCTGGAGAACAGCTGCCGAACCCAACCGATTTCATACTGTCGCCGCAACTCGTTGTGCGACGCGTTCACAAGTGCACAATGTAATCTTATTGTGGCTCGGTGGTGGTAGCGAGTGGCTCGCAATTGGAAGGTTGCGAGTTCAACTCCTGGATGGGAGTTGACTCGGTCAATTATCCCTCTGGGGGCCATTAAAAAAGTCAACAGTGGCTGTCCAATGGTACATTCGTCTCCATTATAGGAATGTGGAATTTCCAAGCACTGGCCCGGGGTTTCAAACAGGAGATGAACGCTGCCTGAAATGTTTATCTGAGCGAGAAATACCGATTTTGTTTTTGCGGGGGGGGGGGGGGGGGGGTGGAATTTTTGATAATAGAAACAGCCACTGAATTATTTTGACGTCGGCAAAACGTATACTTGGCCAAAGCGCGCCGGAGTACTGTGACTCTCTGGAAGGTACAGATCTTGTTACTTAAGCGGTATAATATTGTGGAAGTTTATCTCTTATTGGAGGGAAATAGCCTATGCCGCTGGCAGTTAACTTAACAAACACAACTAAGGGCTTATGTCCAACATCAACTTAAAGTTGATACTTAAATCCCCAATGGACTCTCATTAAAAATCACGTAATTAAATATTAGTGCTATCCTGCTTTACCGTGTAAACGGGACGTAACATCGCAACGCCGAAATGCTGACAGCTATCAGCCACGCAGAAATACTGAACAAACACGTTATCATATATACTCTCGAATTACTATAGCATCCGTGCGTATACATCTATCGGTTAATAGTATAGCTATGATATTTCTATAAACTCTTCATCGACACCCTCGATTTCTGGAGCTCACATCATCAAAGGGACATCACACGGTGGGAATAAGATACTTGCATTTGGAAAGGGGTTCCCCCCATTCAAGTTTGACAAGGCGACACGACACCACACTGATCCTGCATGGTTGAGGTCCAGGGGCTGGCCGTGGCAATGTAACCAACCATTCATTCACACACCGGCATTCGGAGGCTGATAAATTAATGCAAACTGAACGTAAGAGTAGTGTAGTGTCATTTTAACTCGTATTGTTGGACGAGTAATTATGTTTCCTGTAGGAAGCATTCCTTTATCCACATTGAAAGAAAGCAATTGTAAAAAAAATCGGCAACATACTTGAATGATAAGTTTAGAAAATACCACGTTTCTTGGCCACTTGAAGACATCTTCGGGAACAGTCATCTGCAAATATCTTCCGCAGATCTTCTCCGACACACAGAATGCACTGCTTTACGAGATTTCCAATATAGACTCTTCATCATATGACAAGATGCCAATAGCACACTTGGAATAAACTGGGTGAAAAAGGCTCAACAATACTGTTTTTTATACGAAGGTTGTACAAATCTACACGCGTGTGTGTGTGTACTGACTTGAACATCAGGAGTTAGAATGGACCATTTCAATCACTTAGTTATTGCTCAGTTGGTGTACTGGTCTGGCCAGCTATTCAGGGATTGTGTGTGGCTCCATCACACGTGGGTAGGTCACGTCACTGCGCAGGAAACATCACCGAGAACTACCCATCGCAGAGGGTAACCGCTGGCCCCAAACTCAGCTGCCACCACATGACTTGTTTGGCCCATAGAGTATGTGTACATGTAGATACCCTGTCAATCCACTGCTGGATGAGGGCCTCCCCCATACCATGCGAGTCGTGGGGGTTATTTGAGCATACTTCACCGTGCTGGTCGGTGTAGATTGGTGAAGGCGGGGAGCATAGACGTTGGAGCACAGTACAATACAACAATAGATTTTGCTGCACTGCTCTCTGCTGCCCACAACGTAGCCCCACAGCGTATCAACCCATCAATATTAACTTAAATACCGATCGATGTAATTATGTACGGAATCTGCCCACCAAGACACGGTGTTTCTGGTCCCATACGCGGCAATGATACCACAACCGAGTGGCGCCGACGTGGTATGCAACAGGGCGTTAAGACGTGGGCAAGTGGCCGAGCGAAGAGAGCCGGTAAGGTTGCACCTGTGATGTCTGGTAATGAGACCCGCTGAACCCTCTGAAGCAGTCAGCGCGTACAATCGGCCACGATGAGCGGAGCTTAGCTGGTGGAGCGACGTCGGACTCCAGGCGTCTTCGAAACGTACCGAGTGCTCCACGCGGAGCCAAGGGCCCGCCACGCCCACCTCCGATCGCGATCAGTGGAGCAAGCCGGCCACGTTGCCGACCACCTGGGCGGCGACTCTGAGGCAGGCCCAGCTCAGGCGCAGGAGAGCAACGACGCAATCTTGGATGCAGCACGACACGTCGCCCCTTTTGAGACAGAGGCGAGAGCACAACGGACAGCGCGAGAATGTCGGCACAACGGCGGTGGTTCCGGCGTTGACTTCAACAAACACATGTTGACTCTTCGGCCAATCACAAGCGAGCCTGGGCATCGTTGAAAATCAGGAGAAGTGCCAATGCTACGCGCGAATCTGCATTTTACGTTTTGCAAACAAAGCTCACTGGAGAACTTCGGAGATCCAGGCCCAGGCGGTGGTCGAGGCTTCGGGGAGATCCTCCGCCAGCCAGCGCGACACGTTTAGACTCCTCTCCTCCACGCGGCACTCGATCCACGTGGACACGTCGCCGAGCGCCGTCAGGATCGCGCCGCTCAGCCACGACAGCAGCCGGGCCGCGGCCGACGGGATGGCCTCCATCACGAACCCGCGCGCCGCCGCCGCGACCGCCCCGGCGGCCGGCGATTCGGGAAACCCGTCTGGGAGCAGTCTGCGGCGCGCGTCAAACCACGCCTCCGCCGAGCGCCTCCGGGCTTCGTCCCAGCGGCGGGGGACGACGTCGCCGAGCCACAGCCAGGAGCTGCGCAGCGCTGATTTCAACGTCTCGGCCGCGGCGGCGCAGGAGGCGGCGGCGGCCCCCGGGGCGGCGGCCCAGGCGCGGCGGCCGGCGTGCGCGAGCGCCGCGGCCAGGTCGCGCGTCGGGGCCAGCAGCTGCCAGCCGTGGCCGAGCACGGAGGAGGCGAGCTCGCCCAGGGCGTGCGTCGAGGCGTTGAGCGAGGAGTGCGACGTGGCCTGGCCGGGGGAGAGAGAGAGAGAGAGACCGCGACGGGTGGTGCGGGTACCATGGGGAAAATGTATGAAACGGGCAAACGTCGACCATCGGGACTAGCAATGCTAGGGACAAGGTTTAATTGTAATTTTATAAATATGTTTTTGTATTGTTTGTTGTTGTAACATTCTCACCCGCCCCTACTGGACATCTGTGAAAACGAGCTTTCCAGCTCATCCCATTCTTCCATACATAAATATTCTCACGCTCTCGTTCCACACACAAGTTATCGTGCCACCCTGCTACGGACAGACGGATGGTCCCCAATGCGTTAAAGTGTTCCAACCTTCGTTGGAAAGCGATGTCAAGCAAAAAAAAAATCTCGCGCACCCAGGTGACAAGGGGCGGCACGGCGTCACACAGCGCCCGCACGGCGGTTGAGACGCAGCTCCACGAGTCCAGCGCCGCCGTCACCACCGCCTCGCGCGCCCACCGCACGCCGGGCCCCGCGGCCGCGACGGCTCGCGAGCAGCACGCGGGCACCGTCTCCCGCGCCCACCTGTGAACACGCCCGGGCAAGCGTGCGCATCGTTGCCCAGCGTTGTCTCCGGCCATTGGCGCCCCACGGTCGAGCGAAAATGAAACAAAAGACGTACAACGTGACTGGTGTTTGGACGAACATCGCGATGCTGAAAGTTTACCTGCAAATAAGTGACTTGGGATGGTAACTCTCAACATCAACCCCCTGCTGCGGAAACTTGGCAGGAGCCTCCTGTGAGGCCTTCATGGCTAATCAAGTGTAATAAGAATAATAATCATGGTCATAATCCACATGACCATCATCATCATCAGCCATGGTCAATTCACGTAAATATTCTCGATTTTTCATGCGACACAATTGTGTTTGCGCCGATTCCTATTTTCTTAATCGCTGTGGTTTATTTGATTTGTTGAGCTTTTTTTCAATTAAGGCTCATGAAATGACAAAAGCTAAATCAGACTTATCCTTTTGAAGCGTTCATCATCATCACCACCATCAGCCATGCAGGCCTCCCCCAATATGTCACCATCTCCAATAGTCCCACATTGCAACAATCCATCTTGCTCTTTCACACCAGCTGATTAAATCACTCCCATCCCCAGGGCGAACTAATTCTCAGGCTCATTTCCCCCCTCATCCTTTTCAGCTCCCACTCCGTCCTTAATTTCGCCCTCCGGCCACCTTCCCCTTCCGGTGACGTCGTCCTGCCAACCGCCAAAAAGGGGCGGCGTGCGTGCGTGTGCGTGCGTGTGTGCGTGCGTGTGTGCGTGCGTGCGTGTATGTGCGTGCGTGTGTGCATGCGTGCGTGCGTGTGTGCATGCGTGCGTGCGTGCATGTGCGTGCGTGCGTGCGTGCATGTGTGTGCGTGCGTGCGTATGCGTGCGTGCATGTGTGTGCGTGTATTTGTGTGCGTGCATGTGTGTGCGTGTATTTGTGTGCGTGTGTGTGTGCGTGTGTGCGCGCACCCGCCGCGTGGTTACCTGCCGGCCTGCGTGGCGGCGCGAGAGAGCGACGCCAACACCTCCTGCGGTGCCGCTTCAAGGTTGGCACCGCGGAGCAGCAGCGCCGTGGACGAGGCTGACGGAGGAGAATCCACACGGCGGAAACGATCGTCATTCACCAGGCACAGAACCCAGCGGTGCGTCACTGCCGTAACGATTTATCGAGCCTCACGTTTAAAGGTTTTTTTTCTAAGCGGGACGGCTGCGCGGCTCAAGAGTCAGAGCGCCGAACCTGGCACCGCTGAGATCCTGAGTTAAAATCCGGGCAACCGCCTGTGATTGACCAGGATCCTCAACTGCAGCTGTTTGAAGGTCTCAGCCAGGTCACCAATGACTGCACTGGTGAATGGGAGGAACCGATTCTATGGTCAGAATCGTGCTCTTTGCAGTCCAGTATCACCTTCTTTGTGTTTTACTACCATCATGATCATCACTTAACGTTAATGCTGCACCTCCCATGCAGTGCATCGAGGAGCGCTGTGGAGGGGGCCCCCCCACACCGCGGAAGCTATCCCTGTGAGGCACAAGGTCAACGCAGCACTCGGCAACAAGTGGGCTTCGGTATGCCAGTAGGGGGGTGATATCACTGTGTGGTTTCTCAATTAAGTAAATTGCGAGTAACGTATCAAATTTGACAAATTGGCACCATACTACTGGCACACTTGGCCTATTTTGTATAAAATGTCATAGGATTGTGAGCATTCACTGCAGAGCAGACGGCGCATATTTAATAATTAATACACCCAGACCGTTAACTAGGGTGGCCGCTGGGCTTGAACCGTAAACCTGTGCTACAGCTTGGCCCCATCACCGCCCTGGTTAGAGACCGAGTCTGCAGATAGTATAGCCAGCCAATTTTACGGCAAACTCGCTGGGATTCGCTCAGACTCGCACGGAATCGCCGTTACCCTGGTAGGAGCCGTGGGCGTGCACGTCGCAAGCGCACAGCGCCACGAGCAGCGAGGCCACGAGCACCAGGCGGCGCGGCCACCGCGAGGACGCCCGGTGCCGGCGCAGCTTCTCCAGGAGATCCTGGGCACGCGGGGCAGTACGGCACAACGCGGTCCGGGTTTACACGGCACACTCCGTAGTTAGCGAGTTGGTTAAATAAGTTTTTCAGCCAGCTGGCTAGGAACGGACAAACCCTTGGCTCACTTATCACCCGGGCAACTGGAGAGCACAGACTAAGTGTTAGTCGCCTAACATTAAATCTACAAGGTATTTACGAATCACAGTTCAGAGACAGATGTCAAGCATGACGCTACGGGGCTCGCGGAGAGGGACGCGTTGATCGCGAGGTGATGACGCGCACCCTTTGGGCATGCGGCATGAATCCTATGGCTCTCAATTGATATCATGAAGCACCGAAGCTTTGCCGATGTAGCATACGCTCAGAAAGCTGTCGTGTAATAATCAGCATCATGTGATACAATCCCGGGCACCTGAAATCAACTCTGGCCATGCACATCAGTGGTATTGGATATCGGAATCTCTCTTGGACCAATCTAAAGTCACAGCAGCCCTTGTGCGGATCACAACACCATCACCACCACGAGTATGCATAAGAGGCTTTTTGGGTTAAATCACATAAATATAAATGTGTTGTTAAACCCGCCACCACCAGATTTGGTCAATTAGTAAGGTTTGTCACGTAAACAAAACATGCCAATTCGTTACTAGTTCAGCACAGCAGTGTTGGTCGCAAAAGCCTACGTATTAAACCATGAGTATGGTCGAAGGCTGAACATGGGATCTTTGTGTGTGTTTGTTTGAGTGCAGGTGAGAGAGAGCCACACCGGCTGTGATGTGCATGCGAGGGGCTGCACAGCGGGCAGCAGAATCCATTATCCTACGCTGGCACGTCCGCGCTCGCCGCCTTTGCCAACCCGCACTGCACAGCGTCGCGGGTGAAGAGTCGTCGTCAAAACGACGCCGGCCAGCAACGCGGCGTGGGGGAGGCCCTCGCCCAGCGGCGGACCGACACCGGCGCCGCACGCGTCCAAAGCGGGGGAAAAGTCTCACCGCCGTGACGTGCGTGCAGGCGACGAACCCGCCCGTGTCCACGCAGCGCCCGCGGGCAAGCAGCTCTGCGTTCGTCGCCGCGAAGTCCTGCGCCGTCCGCCGCAGGTGCTCCGTCGAAACCTGAGCGGTGACGGCGGCACCGTCACGATTAAAATTCTCAACGTGGGAACAAACCCCGACACTACCCCCCCGGTCGGTCAGCTCTTTCAATGCAGCTTCTTGTCGGGACGCTAGCCTCGGACTGTGAAGTAGGGCCCGGTTCTCTAAAATCGGGAGGTGGGGAATCTACGGCCCGCGAGGCGTACACGGCCCGAGACTTCATTTCAGACGGTGCGGAGAACCGGGGAAGTTCAAAGGTTTGTTTGACCAGGTGAGAAAGCAACAGACGAGGACCGTCTCATTTGTGTGACCCGGGTCAAAAAGATGACCATAGCTTATGAATATTATAACGCTTGTGACACAGCAACGTCCGGGTCTCAAGAGTTTTTTTTACATTTAGGGGCAATGTTGCTGTGTGTAGATAAATAAAAACTTATTATACATCTTGGGAATGATAAAGAAATGATTCCGCTCACAGAAGTGTGTGTTATATAAATGTAAAGCACACAAACAGCACGACCTTGGCAACTGCAGGAGTGCCCCAGTTTTCCAACAGATGTCTCAGCAAAATGCTGCAGATAAACAAAAGAGGCGGACACACACACACACAACGCAACACTCATCGCGCGGTTGTATAACTGCAATTGGATAAGAAACGCGGGGTGCATTTTAAAGACTCGCCTACATACGAGGATTCAGGGCAGCTCAAGGAATTCATGATGGATACGTCAGATCTCTGATATCCCGTGCTCCAAAACAGGCAGCCGCCAGGTTCAGCAAGTTGATGGAACTCAGTTTAACACGTAGGCTTTCGCGACCAATATTATCCATGAGAGGTTTTTTTGGGTTAGATCGCGTAAATATATAAATGTGTCGTTAAACCCGCCACCACCCGACAGCCAATTAGTAAGGTGAGGAAGGTTTGTCACGTAAAAAAATAATTGCCAATTCGTTATTAGTTCAGCACACCAGTGTATTGGAGTACTCGAATTATAAATGTTGTGGGTTTACTCTCCAATACACTGGTGGACTGTACTAATGATGACTTGGCATGTTCTGTTTACGTGACAAACCTTGCTAATTGGCTATGTCGGGTAGTGGCAGGTTTAACGACACATTTATATTTACGTGATCCAACCCAAAAAGCCTCTATTATTGATGAGACTCGACTCAGTCCACAATGACTGAGTAACATCTTCAACGCAACTATCTGATATTGCGTTGAAAGTTAACAAAAAATCGTAAAAAGTACGGTTACGCGAATTTCCTAACGGGTTGTCGAATAAAAATCACAGGCTCGTTGTGCATTACCACAGTACTGTACACGTACAGGGCGCAACATGGCTGTAGCAAGGAGTCAATAGGGGAGCTCGTCGTGAGGCTCAGAGGTCGGAGCGCTGAGCCGGCACCGCCGAGAGCCTAGGTTCAAAGCCAAGTTTCAGCTGCCTGTGATTAAATCGGGTCCTCAAGTGAAGTGAGTTCATGGGTCTGAGTGCACAGAAAAAAGCCCCCACCGCATGCAATGTCTACGCACTTAATTTGGCCAAATCTGACCATGAAAAATATCGGCTTAACCGTCACGCGACGAACGTTACTTTTGGTGGTGGAGCAGATGGGAAAGTGCTGCCCCTATAATGTGTGGACGAGAGGTTCCAATTTGAAGGGATTCCAAAGTAGCTCAGTGATTTCCGCTTCCACGGGCTGTTGTGTGATATCCACTTGCATGGAAGGTGCGAGAGATCCAGGTGGGCGCTCCGTCTCACGACGCGAAGTGGGGTAGCACAAGCAGGATACATTTTTTGGAGGAAACAGACAACCAAGGCAGCTCACCTGGACTGCTCCAGGTGGGCGGTGTAGAGCTTCTTCCAGACGGAAAACGAGCACCAGTCCCAGCGCAGGCACTCGGTGAGGCTGCGCAGGAGCTACGCAGCACACGCATCCCCGTTAATCGTCACGGAAACCACGGAGGCAACACGTTACCATTGTCCCGTGCACACTTCATCAGCGCACGCGTCGAAGGTTAATCGTCTCTTAGTGCCGTCCGGCACCATCGAGCCCACGCGATTCGTCACCCCCACGCGATCGCGTCTCACGATGGCATCTCGTTAAGCGCGCGTACTGTGACCGTGTCGCCCCACATCACGGTGCCGCGATCGTGCAATCCAGCGCGATCGCGCCTCGCGTCTCGTTACATCGCGGCGTGCGGGTCGCGTGACCCCGCAACAACGATCGCGACGCGTTACCCACGGCGTCACGAACCTCTATCTTGAGCCTCGGCGGGCAGGAGACGGTGAGGCGCGAGAGGAAGGAGGGGAAGTAGGTGTGCATGACCATCTCCGGCTCCGCGCCGTACGCCAGCACAACCAGCTTGGGGTAGAGATCGAGCAATTGCATCTGCAGCCTGGGGCCAAACAAACACACACATACACACATCAGCAACGATAAAGGTCAACGTGTCCCCTTGCCCAAACAAGCATCGGACAAACACTTATCTCCGTTGCTGGGCCCTGAGCCAGTGGCGGAAATTCCAGAACGTGTTCCACTCGCGCTTGCACGCAAGGCCCAGCCAGGCCACAGCAATCATCGTCGGCAATGTTAAGTTTTCTCAGTGCTCCACAATTCTCCTCCTCGTGCACAATATGCGTCGTACTCTGCACCTCTTTCGATATAGCCTGCAAATGTGTGCGTGTGAGCGAGTGCAATGGGCACGTGCAAGCGAGTCGATTGGCGTGGCGTGAAGGAGCGTGTGCGAACGCGTCTGATGGCAAAGGCGTGCATGAGCGTGTCAGTGAGTGAGTCTATTGGCGCGGAGTGAATGAGCGTGCGTGTGAGTGTACCTGTGTGTCGTGAATGAGCGTGTGTGTGAGTGTACCTGCGTGTCGTGAATGAGCGTGCGAGTCTACCTGCGTGTCGTGAATGAGCTTGTGTGTGAGTGTACCTGTGTGTCGTGAATGAGCGTGTGTGTGAGTGTACCTGTGTGTCGTGAATGAGCGTGTGTGCGAGTGTACCTGCGTGTCGTGAATGAACGTGTGAGTGTACCTGCGTGTCGTGAATGAGCGTGTGTGCGAGTGTACCTGCGTGTTGTGAATGAGCATGCGAGTGTACCTGCGTGTCGTGAATGAACGTGTGAGTGTACCTGCGTGTCGTGAATGAACGTGCGAGTGAGTGTACCTGCGTGTCGTGAATGAACGTGCGAGTGAGTGTACCTGTGTGTCGTGAATGAGCGTGTGTGTGAGTGTACCTGCGTGTCGTGAATGAGTGTGCGAGTCTACCTGCGTGTCGTGAATGAACGTGTGAGTGTACCTGCGTGTCGTGAATGAACGTGCGAGTGAGTGTACCTGCGTGTCGTGAATGAACGTGCGAGTGAGTGTACCTGCGTGTCGTGAATGAACGTGCGAGTGAGTGTACCTGTGTGTCGTGAATGAGCGTGTGTGTGAGTGTACCTGCGTGTCGTGAATGAGTGTGCGAGTCTACCTGCGTGTCGTGAATGAACATGTGAGTGTACCTGCGTGTCGTGAATGAACGTGCGAGTGAGTGTACCTGCATGTCGTGAATGAGCATGCGTGAGCGAGCGAGTGCACTGGGGTGGCTGTGGTGCCGTGTGGCTCCCGCACTGTGGCTGTAGCGCGTTGTTGGGCATGAATGCGAAGTCGAGGACGGGGAACAGCTCCTGCGGGCCCAGCACCCCGTAGCCGGCGCAGGGTTTAGGGTGGAGCCTGTCCCGCACACACAGCCCAGCAGACGGGCACTTTCATCATCATCACCATCAGCCATTACAGCTCCCACACAAAAGCCGTGCTCGTCGTGCTATCAAGCGGCGGACGTCCTCTGGGGCACGTTCCCTTCCTTTGGCGGCTACTCCAAGTCGCCAAGTGTTGACCACCGGCCACCATCCGCTCCGTCGTCCCGTTCGCCGGCGTGCCATGTCCCCCGTAAAGCGGCGCCCCCTAAAGCGTGGCGGACGCTAACCGGCTCGCGTCGTGCGTGCATTGCGCCGCACGGTGTGTCGGCAACTCATCCGCAGGGCGGCCGTGGCAGACGGCACCCAAGGTGAGCGTCGCCGTGCAACGTACACGAGCAGGCGCTCCAGGTAGCAGATGGCGTAGGCGGAGAGAGACTTGACTCCCAACACGGGAAGCATCACGGAAAACCACACTGTGGGGAAACGCACAAAGGCAGCTACTCACGCTGAACAAAAAACAACAGCAATAGGCGATAGGCATTCACCACAAAGCGGCAGTGATGCCAGTGACGGCGCTTGTGCCAGGCTAGGAGCTCTAGCTGTGTCTTCAAGTTTTGGGCAACACTTTCAACAATTTGTTTGGTTTTCAATTAGCTAGGTGCTGAATAGCCATCAAACTTTACACTAACGTAACGTTCACAGTGGATGATCTTACGAAAGTTAATTGTCACCCAGCTAAGGACAGACTGGCAGACAGAAGGACAGAGAGAGCTCACGAATATAAACGCTTTCAAAATGATGATGATGATGATGACGATGATGACGACGCTGTAAAACGATACACCGGCGAGTCCCAGCGTTGTTTACCCAAGAGTCCAGAGGCCAGGTCGCTGTGCCCCACTTGCCCCACCGACCACAGGATACAGAGGCAGCGCCTGGACTTGTTCTGATGCTTCTTCACCAACTCAAGGTACTGCCACACAGACAGAGACAAAGTTCCCCCGTATAGCCTCGAACAGACATGTTGGGCAAGTGCTGTTGGCGACCACCTATGAAGGCTACATGAGGCGGTGGGTGGCCAGCACCACGCATGGCCACTTTTGCCTCTTTAGTGATGATATTTACACAACATCAGGTACTAATTTTAGGCTGAATGGACCCAGGGGAGGCCCAGGACTGGATCATATAATCGTCACTGGTGTTCGCCGTGAGCGGGAATCGAACTCGGGCCACCGGATTCGCAGCGCGGTGCACTTACCGCTGCACGACCACTCCCACGCAGACAGTCGCACACACACGAATGTCTCTTTCAAAAATACCAGTGGGAAATTGCAAAACATAGAGTTCTGCCTTGTTCAAGGTTGCATTTAGTGTTTAAAGTGGGCAGGAATGTATGTATTTATACAATTTGTGCTTATAAACTTTCTTTATTTCTATCTATTTATTGTGACTTCCTTACCTTTTCTCTACGTTGCAATATGATGTTTTTTTTCTATTGTTTGTTATTGTAACTTGCTGACCTGTCCCGACTGGATATCTGTGAGAAAGAGCTTCATAGCTCATCGGATTCCTCCAGGATGAGTAAAGATGATCATTCTAATTCTGAAGTTGTAAATCCGGATCGTTATGTGGTGCTGAAATGGAACGCACATGGAATGGGACTAGCATCAAATGGCTGATCCGGTGCAGTAAACTAAACCATTTAAACTGTAAACTAGTTTTTTATTTTACCAGGTAAGGCCCACTGAGCTGTATAGCTCTTTTTCAGAAGTGACCTGGCAATCACAAATGATAGCTCAATGAAGTGGCTTATAATGTGGAAATGTGTAGCAGCCAAATACTCTAAATGCATGTTTGTTAATATGGAGGGGAAAAAACGGTGGACCCGGAGAAAAAAATCCACATGACCAGGGGGGAAACAAGCAAACACCCAAATATACAGCAGGCGTCAGGGTGGTGATCGAACCCACGACATCCTGTACATCAGGCGAGGTAGTTAACATCTCGCCACCGCGACACCCCAATTAATTCGAGGTTCAAGAGGGTTCCTCCTGGGTGGCAGGTTTCATAACCCAGTGTCTGCACAATGACAAGGACTTACCTTGTCTAAATTGTCTCGCACCACCGCTGGGCTCCTCCTGACTATGGCCTGCAAGAATATTCTGTATCCATAGGATCCGTCACCTTGGAGAACACAGAACAATGTCAACTCAATGCGTGTGCTGCACACAACTTCAGTTCTATGAACAATAAAGTCTATGAGCCATACTCTTTGGTTCTGGAGGGTCATGCCAAGTTTTTGCAACAGGGCGGGGGGGTCCAATTGAGCAAGTTGCAAGTCATATCTTAGGATTTAGATGTTCTACCGATACAAATTACATTTTTGTTTTTAGCAAATCACCCACAATGTGCTCCATCTTGTGAGATTACAGAAGCTAAGTCGAGTTGAGCCTTGATAGTGCTTAAGATTGGCAACCACCATGCTGTGAAACTCCATTATGGACATGTACCGTACTACGCTTGTACATCTATGCTCCCCAACGTAGCAGTCCCACACGAACCAGCTTGGTGAAGCATGATCAAATAACCCCCATGACCAGCACGGTGTGGGGGAGGTGCTCGTCATCCAGCAGTGGATTGACAATCGGGCTGTGCATGTGCATGAGACCTGTGGTCACCGCGTGTGACTGCGTGTTCGGATTGATGACGCTAAACCTTTGAAGTGCCATACCCCGGCTCGCCAGGAGACAGCAGTACAGCAAGCGGAACAATCTCTATCGATTTCCATCTGTCCGGGGATAGAGTGCTGCTCCCTGTCGCGTGTGTGGGTATTCTCCGGCTGCTCCGGTTTCCCCCCCCACGTGTATAATGGATCTGAACTGGAGGAAAACTTTTAAACTCAAAACCCAATGCAGAACCCTCCTGAAACGAGTTTATACAATTGAGTGTGGCTTTCCTTGATAACAACGAATACATTGTTATTACTATAAGCCATACCTTTGTCCGCCACTCTAAGAATCATGTGCAGGCAGAAATCGAAGAGACCTTGCAGCTCCAGCAGGGAGGCCTTTGCCAAGACGGACTCAATAATGTTACGAAGACGTTTGCTCGCCAAGCAGAGCGGGTAGTCTGGAGGTGAAACACACGCAGCACAACACAATAACACAGCACAATAGCCCTTTGTGCCAGCGCTCTCCATTGCAATAAATAATTCATCCATTGTACATCACAGTAATTACTCATCACCGAGTGATAATTATTTAAAGTGCAAGTGGTGCTGCCGACACCAGAAATGAATAACAGCCAAAAACAGCATAGGTGCTACGTCACGATAGGAGAGGAGAGCCAAGTAGTTTTGAGGTGGAGCGCACTAGCCAAGCAATTTCTTGCCCAATCTTTAAACAACTACGCCAGTACCTAGTACAAGCCCGACCATTCACCATAACTAACGAGCCAGCCAGCCACTAGTACTATTCCTACCATTCACCATAACTAACGAGCCAGCCAGCCACTAGTACAAGCCCGACCATTGACCATAACTAACGAGCCAGCCAGCTGCGAGTACAAACCCGACCATTCACCATAACTAACGAGCAAGCCAGCCACTAGTACTAGTCCTACCATTCACCATAACTAACGAGCCAGTCAGCCACGAGTGTAGTGCCATAGATGGAACGGTACCTCGTACCGTCAGGGGAGGAGCTGCAGCGCCAGCCCAAGAGGGGAGGGGCTGCGGGGGTTCTAGGATCCCTCGCAGCCCCACCCCTCAATGGGCAAGTGTAGTACAAGCAAGGGGCATAAAAGGGGACCTCCCCAGACAATCTGGGACCGGTTGAAGACCGAAGCCGAAGACCAGTAGCTAGAGATAGGACCCTGGACCCCCTAGACCCGCTGTCCTTGTCAGGGCCGGGGCGCTGTGCGGGCCAGTGGTGGGACTCTGGGCCAGTGGTGGGACTCTGGGCCAGTGGTGGGACTCTGGGACTCCCGGCCCCACGCCCTTGTAAGGGCGAGGTCCGAGGAAGCCAGAGTCTACACCCGCACCTTGGCTGGGTGGGGTCAGGGTAGCCTCCCCGAGGGTAGTTATAGCGGAGGACCCGAGAGCGTTGCCAGTGTCACGGCACGCTAGGAGTAGACTGTGTCCCCAGGCTGAACCAGTCTATAAGGAGGACTGTTGGAGTGCTGTATTGTAATAAAGTTACCTATCCGAAGTGTTTCCGGAACCCCACTACACTAGTACAAGCCCTACCATTCACCATGACTAAAGAGCCAGCCAGCCACTAGTACTAGCCCTACCATTTCACCATGACTAAAGAGCCAGCCAGCCACTAGTACTAGCCCTACCATTTCACCATGACTAAAGAGCCAGCCAGCCACTAGTACAAGCCCTACCATTCACCATGACTAAAGAGCCAGCCAGCCACTAGTACTAGCCCTACCGTTCACCATGACTAAAAGAGTCAGCTAGCCACTAGTACAAGCCCTACCATTAACCATGACTAAAGAGCCAGCCAGCCACTAGTACAAGCCCTACCATTCACCATGACTAAAGAGCCAGCCAGCCACTAGTACTAGCCCTACCATTCACCATGAATAAAGAGCCAGCCAGCCACTAGTACTAGCCCTACCAAACACCATGAGTAATGAGCCAGCCAGCCACTAGTACTAGCCCTACCATTCACCATGACTAAAGAGCCAGCCAGCCACTAGTACTAAACCGACCATTCACCATAACTAACAAGCCAGCCACTAGTACTAGCCCTACCATTCATCATAACTAAAGAGCCAGCCAGCCACTAGTACACACCCGACCATCCACCGTAACTAACGAGCCAGCCAGCCACTAGTACAAGCCCTACCATTCACCATGACTAAAGAGCCAGCCAGCCACTAGTACTAGCCCTACCAAACACCATGACTAAAGAGCCAGCCAGCCACTAGTACTAGCCCTACCATTCACCATGACTAAAGAGCCAGCCAGCCACTAGTACTAGCCCTACCAAACACCATGACTAAAGAGCCAGCCAGCCACTAGTACAAACCCTATCATTCACCATGACTAAAGAGCCAGCCAGCCACTAGTACAAACCCCATCATTCACCATGACTAAAGAGCCAACCAGCCACTAGTACAAGTCCTACCATTCACCATGACTAAAGAGCCAGCCAGCCACTTGTGGCAGCCCTACCATTCACCATGACTAAAGAGCCAGCCAGTCACTAGTACTAGCCCTACCATTCACCATGACTAAAGAGCCAGCCAGCCACTAGTACTAGCCCTACCATTCACCATGACTAATGAGCCAGCCAGCCACTAGTACACACCCGACCATCCACCATAACTAACGAGCCAGCCAGCCACTAGTACAAGCCCTACCATTCACCATGACTAAAGAGCCAGCCAGCCACTAGTACTAGCCCTACCATTCACCATGACTAAAGAGCCAGCCAGCCACTAGTACAAACCCTATCATTCACCATGACTAAAGAGCCAGCCAGCCACTAGTACTAGCCCTACCATTCACCATGACTAAAGAGCCAGCCACTAGCACAAACCCGACCATTCACCATAACTAACCAGCCAGCCACTAGTACACACCCGACCATCCACCGTAACTAACGAGCCAGTCATCCAGTACTAGCCCTACCATTCGCCATGACTAAAGAGCCAGCCAGCCACTAGTACAAACCCCATCATTCACCATGACTAAAGAGCCAGCCAGCCACTAGTACAAGTCCTACCATTCCCCATGACTAAAGAGCCAGCCAGCCACTTGTTCCAGCCCTACCATTCACCATGACTAAAGAGCCAGCCAGTCACTAGTACTAGCCCTACCATTCACCATGACTAAAAAGCCAGCCAGCCACTAGTACTAGCCCTACCATTCACCATGACTAATGAGCCAGCCAGCCACTAGTACACACCCGACCATCCACCGTAACTAACGAGCCAGCCAGCCACTAGTACTAGCCCTACCATTCACCATGACTAAAGAGCCAGCCAGCCACTAGTACAAACCCTATAATTCACCATGACTAAAGAGCCAGCCAGCCACTAGTACTAGCCCTACCATTCACCATGACTAAAGAGCCAGCCAGCCACTAGTACACACCCTATCATTCACCATGAATAAAGAGCCAGCCAGCCACTAGTACTAGCCCTACCATTCACCATGACTAAAGAGCCAGCCAGCCAGCCACTAGTACAAACCCTACCATTCACCATAACTAACCAGCCAGCCACTAGTACAAACCTGACCATTCACCATAACTAATGAGCCAGCCAGCCACTAGTACACACCCGACCATCCACCGTAACTAACGAGCCAGTCATCCAGTACTAGCCCTACCATTCGCCATGACTAAAGAGCCAGCCACTCGTACCAGACATACCCCTAACCCTAACCAACTAGCCAACCAGCCACTAGTACGACCCTAACCTTAAATCCTGAACACGTTGGCACGAGCCCCTGTCTGCGGTCGACTTTGAGGCTTCCACAGTTCTCACCGTGCGGGTGCTTCCAGAGCGTGGGCTCCGGCTCGGGGACAGGGATCCTGTTGTTGAGGGCGCAGGCGAGACTCCTGGCCCAGGTGAAGGGCGACGCCGGGAGCTCCACCTTGCTTCTGGTCAACTCGGCCTGCAGCTCCTCCTCGTCCAGCTGGCAACAGATCAATCGTCATAAATACAGATCATCTTTACGATTGTCGTCATCGTCATGTGCAGGAGATAAATAGATTGTGGTACCGCGGGACAGTGTTATTGAAACGGCATGAGGAGGCATTAATTCAGCAGTGGATTGATCATGTCTGACGATGATGATGAATCAATGTATTTATCACAACACCCTGTGCATGAGATGCAACTACAGAAAACAACTCCCGTCTCTAAACACCAGATAATTACACCACGTACACAAAACACACCTCCAAACAGCCACCGAGTGGTGGTCACATGAAATAACACTTGAGGTCTTGTGGAGTTGACAAGGCTCATGGGCAGGATGTTACAGGACAGACCCAAGTGTTGAATTATCCTGCAAGTGCAAATATTTACCTGCATAGTCTTACACGCTAAAGGCTAACAATGCTGGTTGTGAGCAAATATTAAGGCTGCGGGCAGGAAATCAAGGGAACGACACACACACACAAACATGCGTCACACGCTGCACGCCGGCACAAACACCACCACAACTGTAACGTCAGCAACAACAACGTCAGCAACAACAACGCGCGTCAAATGACAAAACATTTGACGGTGCGAACCCACATCTGTGAGGGCGTCGGTCAGCGTCGCAGGGGGAGAGTGGCTCTCGTTTGGAGGCTCTTGACGGCCCCAGCTGGAGCCTCTGGCTGGGCCCCTTCCTCCTTGTGACCTCTTTGGGGCATCTCCGTCGCACCTGCCCACTGACTTCCAGAGGGTCTCGGAGGAAACCATCACTCCTGTGGGATGCACGGCTGGTTTAGAGAGCGCGCCTGCCAATTAAACAATACCCGAGGCGAGAACACAGGGCCGGCCTACGATTGCATTGGCACAGCAATGATGTACACCAGGGTTCTTAAAATGGTGGCCCGCGGGACGATAGATGTGGCCCACGAAGGCCATGTCGTGGCCCACCGAGTTATGGCCCTACCGAGAGAGGTGGCTCGCCGAGACACAAACATAATCTGATTCGTGCAATTAAACAGGAGGTAAATTTTGACTTAAAGCTTTCGTGACTGCAGGGATTCATATTCTTGGTTCTTTCGATAAAGTCACCACGTAGAAGGGAAACAATAAAATAATAAAAATATAAAACAATAAACGTCGTGAGAATTGTATTGTTTTATATTTTTATTATTTTATTGTTTCCCTTCTACGTGACTTTACCGAAAGAACCAAGAATATGAAACAGGAGGTAGTGAAGGATGACTGGGGTCCCCGCAAAGCTGTTTTGCTCAAATACTGCACTGTGCTCAATTAAGGTGCAAGGTGGATAATTATTTTTCGATTTAAAGCTTTCGTGACTGCAAGGATTCAAGAAGATGGATAATTATTACTTTGCAGAATCTTAAAGAGTTGGAGACGGCTTGGGGAGGCCTTCATCCAGCAGTGGATTGACCATGGCCGACGATGAAGGTGACTTATAATTAATATTGTTTATTTGGGTGAAAGGGGCTTGATAAAACGTGTTAGGGTAAATGATAAACAAATATTCTCTTTAAAAAGTATCCCACCCATCCAGGACGTGCGGTGTCTTTGCACGGGTATCGTACACCTCAAATGTATTTGGGACAAACTGAATTAATGAGAAGAGAGGCATTTTTAGTTATTTATTGAATCATATCTCCATATCTCCACTTGGAAACCAGTCACTTGGAAACTGCCAAAGCATCTCAATGCAAAGAGCCTCGTGAAAATTGGCTCAGATGCTCTGTGAGGTTTTCCTGGATAGAAGCCATCATGAACATGAATGACACTTTTGTAAAATGCAATCATATGAAGCCTCTTTCGTGTTACGTGTAATTTGTTGTACGTTATGCTCATGCCAAAGAGATACAACTGCACGATAGGGTTGATACATTCTAACACCCATGGGGCCCTCGCTACTGTAAGGGGTTATCATGTACAGTGTAATGCAAATGATAAACAGCGGAGTCCATTTTACTGAGACACCACAGAAGCTCATTTAAATTCCGAGTCACTGATTAAATTCCTAATCATTACGTTACATTGTGAATAAGTGATGAGCTGATGCCACTCGGCTTAACTGTCACAGCGAGAATTACGACCCCAGGCTCGAGGCTGTGAAAATGTGCGCGGCCATTGGGGCTTTCTTGCAGACGGGAGAGAGCAAGTGGGATCATTACACACACACAACCACACAACCACACACAGACACACAACCACACAACCACACACAACTACACACAGAGCCACACAACCACACACAGACAAACAGAAACACAACCACACACAGAGCCAGACAACCACACACAACCACACACAGACACACAGAGACACACAGAGCCACACAACCACACAGACACACAGAGACACAACCACACACAGAGCCACACAACCACACACAACCACACACAGAGACACAACCATACACAGAGCCACACAACCACACAGACACACAGAGAGACAACCACACACAGACACACAGAGACACAACCACACACAGATCCACACAACCAAATACAACCACACAAACCACAGACACACACATAGACACACACATAGCCACACACAGCCACATAACCACACACAGAGACGACCACAACCAAACAACGCACGTCCACCCACACAAACATTAACATCCGGACATAAGGACACAACAACGACACCCTACGTACGATGTTCATACAAACACAACCACCCACACGCACAGCCACAATCACACGAGCAACACACAGCCACACATTCCACTAACGCAAGCACAGCTACACACAACGACAACACAACCACCCACAATCACACTACCACAAACCACCCACAATCACACTACCACAACCACCCACAATCACACTACTACCACAACCACCCACAATCACACTACTACCACAACCACCCACAATCACACTACTACCACAACCACCCACAATCACACTACTACCACAACCACCCACAATCACACTACTACCACAACCACCCACAATCACACTACTACCACAACCACCCACAATCACACTACTACCACAACCACCCACAATCACACTACTACCACAACCACCCACAATCACACTACTACCACAACCACCCACAATCACACTACCACAACTACCCACAATCACACTACTACCACAACCACCCACAATCACACTACTACCACAACCACCCACAATCACACTACCACAACCACCCACAATCACACTACTACCACAACCACCCACAATCACACTACTACCACAACCACCCACAATCACACTACCACAACCACCCACAATCACACTACCACAACCACCCACAATCACACTACCACAACCACCCACAATCACAATACCATCACAACCACCCACAATCACACTACCATCACAACCACCCACAACCACCCACAATCACACTACCATCACAACCACCCACAATCACACTACCACAACCACCCACAATCACTACCATCACAACCACCCACAACCACCCACAATCACACTACCATCACAACCACCCACAACCACCCACAATCACACTACCATCACAACCACCCACAATCACACTACCACAACCACCCACAATCACACTACCAACACAACGATCAATAGCGACAACGATCCCCAGACTGTAGGGGCAAGTGCTGTTAGCGAGCACCTATGAAGGCCGGCACGGCACACGAGCGGGTGGGTGGCCAAAACCATGCACGGCCGCCTTTGTCTCCCCAGTAGCGATGCTTACACACCGCACCAGGCACTCATTCGAGGCCGAGTCGACCTAGGGGAGGCCCACTGGTGTTGGGAGTCGAACTCAGGTCGCCAGGTTCGTAGCGCAGCTCGCCAACCGCTACACCACCGCTCCCCGACGATCAAACAACAACCACCAACAACAACCACCACCAACAACAACCACAACCACCCTCTCACGCACATCCACAGCCATCCTCCACCACACAAGCATGGCTACAACCACACACACCACAACATCCATTCACAACAACCACACACCCCACATCCATTCACAACAACCACACACACCACAACATCCATTCACAACAACCACACACACCACAACATCCATTCACAACAACCACACACACCACAACATCCATTCACAACAACCACACACACCACAACATCCATTCACAACAACCACACACACCACAACATCCATTCACAACAACCACACACACCACAACATCCATTCACAACAACCACACACACCACAACATCCATTCACAACAACCACACACACAAGGACAACCACACACACCACAACATCCATTCACAACAGCCACACACACAGGGACAACCACACACACCACATCCATTCACAACAACCACACACACCACAACATCCATTCACAACAACCACACACACCACATCCATTCACAACAACCACACACACCACAACATCCATTCACAACAACCAGACACACCACATCCATTCGCAACAACCACACACACAAGTCGAACGCAATGCCACGGCACCACGACTCGTTCCAACAGAAGACCCTCACCTCTCTCCACACGCCTCTTGCTGCTGCTGTTGCTACTGATGCTACTATTGCTGATGATGCTTCGTATCTTGCTGTTGCTTCAACTGTTTCTCGTTATTGCTGCCGCAACTGCCCTTTATTCTGTTGTTTCAACAATAGCTGCTGCTGCCTCGTTTTGGTGCTGTTTCTGCTGTTGCTAGAGCTTCTAACGCTGTTAGCAGCTGCTGTTGCTGCTGTTTGTTACCAATGAAATCGCTCTTGCTGCTACAACTGCTGCTACCGCCGTGACTGCTGCAGCTCCTATCACTCACTGTACCTACTGCTGTTGTTGCAGCTGTCACGACCGTTACTGCTGCTGCTGCAGCTGCTATCTCTACCGATGTTGACAGCACTGTTGCTGCTGCTGTTACAGCTTCCGCTGTTGCAGCTCCGCTCGCTGCTGTTCCTATCGCGAGCTGTAGCCCATCCTGCTGCTGCTGCTCCTGTGTCTGCGAACACGAGGGTCCATCCCTTCCCGTCACGTGACAAAGCACCCAGTTAACACGGGGACCCACCACGTCCCCGCCCCCTTCCCCCAGTCCCTGCCCCCCCCTTCCTCTAGCCCTCCCCCAAGTCCCCGCCCCCCTCCCCTACTCCCCCCAGTCCCCGCCCCCCACGAGTCGCCCTCCAGTCCCCCCTCTCCTAGTCCGTCCCCCCCCCCAAAGTCTCCACCGACCCCCACCCCAGTCCCCCCCCCCCCAGTCCCCGCCCCCCTCTATTTTACAACTTATTCGACGTTTCGGGCAATGGCCCTTCTTCACAGCACATAGAGACCATACAGATGGAGTGGCTCTCCACTCTGTATTCTCAATGTGGTATAGAGAAGGGCCATTGTCCCAGTAGGCGCCTCTTAGGGTAGATATTATTTCATCCTTTTAAGGCCACAGTGCAATTGGCGAACGTGCAGATTGTTCAAGACTCCAGTGACACAAAACTGAGCCGCACATTCTGATGTTCAACAGCTTACTCAGACTTGACACAACACTCCAAATAACGGTTCCATTCTTTTATTATTTTACAGTGTTTCGATTATGATTTAATCGGCGTATGTAATTCAGTTGTCGCAGAGCCTTTTTTTTTACAAACGTTACAATTCCTACTGATGTTAAGAAAGTAACAATTGTTAACGCTACACGAAGCGTTCAGTCCGTGTTTTAGATAGAATTCAGTCGCAACATTGCCTGTAAAATTGTACCCCCATGTGCATCAAGCAGCACTTATCAACGTGGGAAGTATGGTCAAACACGGCGTGGGGAAGGCCATTACGATCATGTACACGGGAGATAATCATTTATCATGGCACATTTAGGGCCTCCTCATTCCGTGGGAGTCTTTTGACCATACTTCACCATGCTGCTAAGTGCGGGTTGAAGGGCGGGAGAGGGGGGCGCATAGAGTACAGTACACAACAATTGATGTTGCTGTACTGCATATCGCGTAGTCACGCCAGTCCCCATGCACAGTGAGTCCCATCGCAACGATTATCTTGGCTGGAACCTTCCCGACTTTCTTTCCAACATCTGGGCGCATTTCGGTAAATTGGCGTAAAGCCACCGGACACGATTTCCCAGTTGAAACGCGCACTAGAGGTCGCTGCACGGCCACAAGTGAAATCGTTGGCACGTTTAAAAAAATAAACTGTGCTGTAGTAGACGCAAACAAGGCCGGGGTCAATAAAGTATCTTTGGGATTTGGCCCAGTTACGACTATGAGTGTCACCGCGGTGCCATGCCACTTACCAGAAACCAAACAGCCCCATGTGTAATAGATTGTGTACTAACGTTTAAAAAAAAACAATTGTGCAGTAGCAGATACAAACAAGACTGGGGTCAATAAAGTCTATTTGGGATTTGACCCAGTTACAACTATGAATGCCACCGCGGTGCCATGCCATTAATCAGAACCCAAACAGCCCCATGTGTAATAGACGGTGTGCTACCGTAGTCATATAAAGATGTGGCCATTATAAAATCTGTATGTGAGTGTAACACACAATTCGTGGTCACGTCGCCTACAACAATGAATCCTTGAGAGATGTTTTCTCCAGATTTCGGTCTTGTCGAACTTCAAGCCGTCTTCCTTGCCGCTGCTATCCGGTACTGGCCACCGTCTTCCCCTCCAGTGCCACAGTGGATAAGTCCGGTCACACAAGGCTGACGACCCACTCGGGGCGGAGAGGTCATCGTCCAGCAGCGGGCTGGCAAATCATCGTTCATTATAAGTAACTACAGTATTACAAGTGGAATTGTACTGAATCTCACAGACCCAATCTTATACAATGTTCATCAAACAGCCAATGGGGGTTGAGGTCTCTGCCTTAACATGTTTTGTGTTATTGAAACCCCTAAACATAATAAAGAGCCGAACTCCAAAACATTTCTCAAACATACGTTGTCGGCTGGAGTAGAATTCCTCTTCAATGTCGACCTGTGTCATACTTTCTGGGACAAATATTGCTGGCATATATGTAACTTGCGTAGATGAAAAAAAAAACAGATACAACTCTGCATCCAATAGTTTTTACGCCATTTAAATATTTATTTTTTCAAACCTGTCAAGACAATTTTCCGAAATTTCCAACAAGACTTGCCATGATTGGCGGAGAGGAAGACATTTTTAGAAAATACTGGATATGGTGCAGATTCCTCAAAAGTGTTTTGCTGACATTATGCAGTGCAATGTTTCCGTCTGCAAATGTACACCCCCCGACTGTTACAATGGTGACTGGAACGTGATGGCACTCGGTGGGAACGGTGATGCGGTGGCCTCACTTTAATTCTGGCCAACGGCTAAGACCGTGACATCGGAATCTATCCTTAAAAATAAACAACTCCCATGACAGACACGGCATGGGAAGGCCCTCGTCCAGTCGTGGATTTAACAAAGGGCTGTAAGTTATTCTTATTGTTAATAAAAAATATTTAAAATCACATTTAGTGTCGTTTTTTTTTAATCACGTGATCAATCAGTATTTTACCGTGTTTTTCGACACAAGTTTGTGTTTTTTTTTTTTAACCACTGCAGACGACGCAGAACGTACCATTCAGCCATCACATAACATGACGACTAATCCCGCCAAACCCTTTCCCTTGAGGCATGACAGAGGTACCTAGTGAAATTAACAAAACTCTCACAACAGGCGAAATTGGCTTCGGCTGGAGAAATCAACGACGATATATACCACACGTTATATCGGAAAAACGATGTCCACACGGACGGCATTCCGTGAGATTCCCAACACATTCATACGACGCTCACACGCGCGTGACGCCCATTTACTCATTCAACCGACTGGGATGATTTCCACAGGGCATAATTTCAACCCGGTCTGTCCGGGTCGGCAACAAATAAAATGTCCCTGCACCCGGCAAAAACACATCTTGTTGTACACCTCGCTCGGCCATGGCTACTCGGCACGCAGCCACCTACTCCGGCCTGGACACCGAGATGCATTTCTTCTCCGGAGACGAACGGCGCGACGAGCGGCACGCGTACCTGGCGGGTTGAGGACAGAGTCGAGGGCCGTGTCTGGGTCGTGTGCCGGCCAGGCCCAGCCAGCAAACGACACATTTGATTGTCAGGCGCAATGGTTAGCCTGCTGCATTACAAAAGTGCATTTTCTCTACAGTGTGTGTGTCACCGTCGTTCCATTAGAAGGCTTCCTATTCAAGTGTTTCATCATACCCTACTACTAGAACGTAAAAGAGACCGACCGTATTGCAGCTATATTCAGCAAGGCGACACAATACCTTGTACGAAAACATTTTTTAAAGACATAAAAATTAAGATGCGACGATTTAAACCCGCAGTAGTTTTTTTTTTCTCTTTTCCTTTAAACCACGGTTTCTGAGCAAAGGGCCCAAAACGCCAAGACGCCAGCGGTTGCTGTGACGAGGTGGAATTGCCGGGCGAGAAGCTGAGAGAAGGAGAGCGGTGGCGCTGCACGTCCGCAGGCTCACACTGTCGTGAAGTTAGCTGCCGCACTCGCAAGGACCGCTGGGGGTTCCGTGTGCGGCTTTGTAGAAAGTCGTCTCTCTGTCAGAGGGATCTCGGCGCTAGCTCTGTGATAGCAACTTCGTGGGCCGCGCGGCTCTGCCGGTCGCGCGATCAAAATTAAACCGGGAAGAAGAAAAAAATGAACAGATTCTAAAAAAATCAATAAAAGTTATAAACGTGTTTGTGTCCTCTTGCTCAGACGAGCGTCAGGCGGCGCGAATATCATTTGCTGGTCCTGAGCCACTGGTGGAAGTTCCAGCATCGACCGATGACTCCGGTGTCTCCGGTGAACAGTGGCACTTGTCTGCAGCTGGGTTCCTTCAGCTGGTGGCCCCCGTAAGGCTAGGTATGGCCCCCGGGGACGCTTATAATACAAATTGCGTTCGATAACGTAACGGCGATGGTACGATCGGGATAAAATCGGACACGGAGCCAGCATCAAATAAGGAGAACGACGTTGTGGCTATTCTAACAATGTGGTGGACGTGCGTGCGCAAACCTTGGTCGTTACAGGGACGTCTCCTCGTGGGATTTAATGTTTGACTTCAATAGTTCGGAATATAACGCACAGTGAAGTTGCAGTAGCAGCAGAGAGGAAGAGGCGTTGTGGGGAAAGACCATCTTCGTGGGCACAAATGCCTCCTTAACCTCCTTAATCTTCTTAATTCCACCGTGTGATGAGACTCCCGAGGGAAGCTGCCACCCCTGCCGCCGCTGAATCTTCACTCTGACACCGCGCCGCTGCTCCATGTCGCGAATCCACAACCCCGCAGGCGACGCGGACGGCGTCGTCCTCAGTACTCGTCCTGCTCCTCGGGCTCCGGCTCCTCCTCGGGAACATTGTCCACGGAGAATCCGTCCTGGAGACCGAGGACCGCGGGTGAGTGAGAGAGAGGGGCGGTGAGAGAGGGGCGAGGAGCACCAGCGTGATGGGGTGGGAGGGAGGGGGCGAGAGAGGGGCGAGGGGCACCAGCGTGATGGGGGGGGAGGGAGGGGGCGAGAGAGGGGCGAGGGGCACCAGCGTGATGGGGTGGGAGGGAGGGGGCGAGAGAGGGGCGAGGGGCACCAGCGTGATGGGAGGGGAGGGAGGGGGCGAGAGAGGGGCGAGGAGCACCAGTGTGATGGGGGGGGAGGGAGGGGCACCTGCGTGGCGTAGAGGATGTCGAGGATTCGCCGCACGATGGGCTCCTCCTCCTCGTCCTGCTCCTGGCACAGCAGCTCCACGTCCCTCAGCTTGGAGTAGTAGAAGTCACGCTCCTTCTCCAGGGCGTCCACCTTCTCCTTGAGGTCCACCAGCTGTCGCACAAGAGCACGCCAATCGGCACGATCATCGGCCGTGAGCCATCCACTGCTGGACGAAGCCTTCCCTGGGCCGCCAACATTTCTGACGGTCTCGCGATGCAACGATTGGTCTAGTGCCTGCGCACGAGCCGATTTCATCACTCCATCTCCGCAGCGGAGTGCTCTCTCAGCCACCTCATAATTAGTCTCAACCGCCGGCGTTTTTCCTTTCTAGCCACGTATCCTGCCCAAGCCCGCGTGCCATTCTTAACAGTCAACACGACGCCTCTCTGAAACGTCGGACGTCGCGCCCAAGAGCACGTGGACACGCTTCCTGAACGCACCATGGAGAGCTACGTAGCGACAGCCGTGGCCTTCTGTGCCGGGCACCACACGCGAATCACCTCGTTGTTGATCTCGGCGGCAATGGCGTTCTCCTGCTGGTTGGTGCCGTTGCGAGGTCGCGAGAGGGGGGTCCCCCGAGTCGGGGGGCCGCTGGAGCGCCGGGGCCCGGTCGGTCCGGCGGGGGATGGCCTCCCGGCCGCTGCGCGTGGAGGGACGGGGGACAAGCCGAGGGGTCAGCGTGGCGTGCGCGCCACACACATTTGGGAAACGGAGGCGGAGCATCTGCCGGTCATCCCAGCCAGTCAACCCATAACACCTGCGTCTCCCCTGTGACCTCCTGCCAGCGGTGAGCTTCCCACACATCACGTGACAGCCTCAAAGTGCGCCTAGCCTGGCGCAAGCGGCCCCGGCAACTTCATCGTTATTTAGCGGCGAAGAGCAGCTGTTGTTGTTGTTGTTACGGTGTGTGTGTGTGTGCGTGTGAGTATGAGAAGAGCCGTTATCGGATCAGTGTAGCTCTGGTGAATTCATCAGCGTGCCCGCAGCTCTATGAAGCGCCTGCTCGGTCGGGTGGCGTTACCCACCCATCGCGGGCCGGGCCCTGGCTTTGTTGAAGATCTGCTGGCCCGGGATCGGGGGCGGGGGCACGTCCTGGCCCTGACGCCCGCCCAGCGCGTCATACTCGTTGCCGTCGTAGTTGGCGTCGAAGAACTTCTTGAACCACTGCACGAACTCAAAGTTGTCCTGGAAGCGGCCCTTCACCAGCTTGTCCACGGGGATGATCTGCGAGAGCGCGCGGCGCCGCACGGAAATTGGTGTTTAGCTGCTGCCGTGCAAGAGGCAAAGACGCGGCGGCGCTGCAAGCGTCTCTCGCTCTCGCGCCCACTGCCGGCCAGAAGCCCTCCACTAAGAGGGAGCTCTGGAGGGCCCCTCCAGCAGAGCGGTGGGCCAAAGGTGGCCGCTGTGCCGTGCGGAGCGGCCTTTTACGATCTACAGCTGTCTCGGCGTTGGATAAATCGGCCCGAATTGGGGGCGCGCGTGTCCGCGAAAATAGTTGGAAGGCTGACGGCAATCCGCGGGTCAAGAGATGGTGAGGAACCACTGCCCTCGAGGTTACTTTGGCCTACTCTTCCACGCAATGGCCAGGTGTCTCGGAAGAGGTGGGAGTACCCAGGCTTTAATCCACCGCACACGACGTGCCGATCGACTAGCTGCGGCGTACTCATTCATACCGCTGGGGTGGGGGGGGCAGAGGCGGGTGGGGGGCAGGAGCGGTGGGGGCGCAGGGGGACGGAGGGAGGGGGGGCGGGGGGTTTCAGAAACTCGTCCCATTGTTTAAACCGCCGCGCCGCCGGAAGATCGAATGGAGCCGGCGACCTCTGAACTGCGAGTCCAGTGGCGCCGCCACTGTGACAGCAATTACAGCGCACCGTGGCTACTGACGGACTCAAAGAGCTGCTCTGTCTCTCACTCGCTCACTAAAGCGTCAAACATCACACGGCGTCGTGTTGTGTTTGGCGCCGCTACACTCCACTCGCTTGCCCCCTCTGTCATCACCACACCTATTGACTGAGCTGCATTATGAAAGAAGTGTGTGCGTCACGCAGTCATGTGGCTTTGCGTGTCTGAGACCTGAACCGGTCCTCGGCCTCCCCTAGGTCGACTCAACCTCAAACCAGTAACCTTGTGCGGTGTTTAAAAAACATCGCCATCAGGGAGACAAAGGTGGCCGGGTGTGATGCTGGCCACCCACCCCCTAGTGTGTTGTGCCGGCCTTCATAGGTGCTGCTGGCGAACAGCTCTTGCTGACTAGATAAGGGATCGTTGTGTGAGACCTCTGTGTGGTAGCCATTACATTTATGTATGTTGAACGTCATTCGCACCATACTTAGCCAACCATGCTAATCGGAGGTGTGGGGGAAGGGTAATAAAATAAACACAAAAAGCAGTTCGAAAGAAATTGGTTTTCAACCTAGCTGATGATTTAAAAGTGCTTAGCACCAAGTGTCTACCTAATATCGGAAGTAAGAGCATTCCAGACGGCCGCAGAAGCGCGTCTGAAAAGCGCGCGATGCGGTGGCCGTCATTGTTCGATGGCCAGCCAAAAGCCACTGCTGCTGCGAGGATAACCGTAGATCACGTGATGGTTTACGCTCCTTGGCGAGACCAGCGTGGTGTTGCGGTTCATTTGTGGCAGCTCCCCCTCTCACCTTGTCCACGTTCAGCTTCTTGAAGGACGCCTGCAGCATCTTGAAGTTGTGGATGAACTCGTGCTCCAGCCGCGCCTGGAACTTCACCTTCTTGAGCAAGATGCTGCCCGGGAAGAGCATGTCCATGAACTGGCAGTAGGCCGCGCCTGCAGGCCCGACGGGACAGCGATCGCCATCAGCGCGGAGCCACGCGTGCAGATTTTTTTGGAGACATTCTCAATTTGGATCGTTTCGTTATTTCCCTGCTTCGGCGACCGAATCGGCCGGAATCGGCCCCATCATTCCCGCAACGTCGGTGGTGAATGTCCGAACGCCCAGAACCGGTGTGTAAACGTCAGCATTGGGGGGAGGCTAAGGCAGCCGAAAGTGCCGCAAGCAACACCTACCCCTTGGCCATGATGACATCTCAATTACGTTTTCTAGGAAACCTGGGATATTTAGATGCCTCATAAATCACCGCATTACGACCCAATCATCTCGAACGCGTATGCTCAGATCTCGGAAGCTAAGCGGTGGTGACCCTGGATAGCGCTTGGATGGGCGGCCGGCATGCTGCTGCCGGGCTACGCGATGGACAGCAGAGGGCAGCGTAGAGAATCAAATTTTGGACTCTACTGCAATTCTCTCCTCCGCCCTACCGTCACCAGCCCGCACTGCCCGGCGTGGTGAAGTATGGTCAAATGACACACACTTACCACGCGGTGCGGTGAGGCGCTCATCCAGCAGTGGACTCACAAAGGGTCGTAAGTGTGTAAGTTATGTCACAACTTTGGGAACTCACTTATATGCGTTGTGACTTACACAGTGAAACGTCTAAGTCACTGCAGTTTGTTACACAAGTTACCGGTGGAATGATATATTTTTGTGATTTGGTTGTCGTCCAGATGAAAATTTGCAATCTGCACCGTGACGCCGTAGTGACCACACACACACAAACCGCTGACAGTAAACTACGTGACTTTACCGAAAGACATGAAGAGTAGTAAACTACAATTTTACTTCTTTCTCAATTTGGAAGTTGGGATATGACAAGACTCGCAAGCACAAAGACTCTATGCCAACCCTATGGCATTGCTGAAACGTTGGCACAGTAGGGGGTACAGCTGGTGTGCATCTCACACTAATCTCAGTCAGCCAATCCATGGCACCTGCTGGGTCTGTCCCGAGACCTCCTGTCAGAGAGCCTTCGACACTTCATGTGGCCTCAAAGTGCACCTGGCCTGGCACAGGTGCCGTGGTGACCTCACTGTCACTTAGTGGCAAATGACGGCTATTGGTAACCCCCCCCCCCCCCCCAAGAATATTATCAGCCTATAAGAAAATAAAAACACGTAAGCAGTTTATTTTCCAATAAAGTCATCATTACAATCATACATTAAATGCCTCACGTGCTTTTCTTAAAACTATAAACATTTATTTACCAGGCAAGACTCACCACTGAGCTATGTGGCTCTTTTTCAGAAGCGATGCGGCCACAGGGAGAGGGACACGCAAACCCCAAATATACAGGCCTCATGGTCGGGATCGAACCCACGGCCTCCTCTCCACCGTGGCACCGCGTTCGCAATGAGAGTTGCCGGCGCCGCCGCCGCGTCCGCGCCGCGTACCGGTGCACAGCTGCTCCACCTTGCCGTAGCACAGGTCCAGCGAGTCGTTGATCCATCCCAGCATGTCGTGGCGGCTCAGGTTGTCGCTCGTCACCGACGTCGAGTAAACATTCACGGCCATCGTGAGCCCGGTGGCGGAGACACCCCCCTGCGAGTGCCGAACGATTAATAAACAACGGTAATCGTAACAACAATGATGACATTTGTGAAGTTGCCGCATTTTGTGCATAGATCCCGCCAATACACCAACCGTGTACGAAAAGCACGAAACAAACGGAACCTGCAAGTTAAACAGCGTATGGGGTTAAAGGTCAGTTTAATAGAGGCGAGTTTTCAGGAACAGACTTAAATGTAACTAACCACTCGGATTGTCTTATTAGCAAAGCGTTCCAAAGCTTGGTAGCTGCACTGGCAAAAGATCGATTGTGCAGGGCGATTCATTTATAAACGCCCCGCTCGTGTCTAATGGCCCTCTCGCCCTCTTCTTATGGCCCAGCGGTGGCACGGTTCGCCGCTTTTTGCAGATTCTTTTGTTGTGGTTCGACCCCAGCAACCACCCGGGTTAATACTGCGCGAGTACAGCGTCATCACAAACAATAAACGTGCCGTGATCTTCATAGTGGCTGTTAAAAATCCTCTGGCTTGACAAAAATATATATATAAGGTTGTGTGTGCCAGCGTCACGGTCCACATTTGCCAAATTTTACAATGATCTGCAAATAACTTTGTGCAAAATCCACAGGGCGACACCACCCCCCTGCTTTTAAACTCCAGCAGACTCTGCACGCCGCCTTTGTGGTGGCCTTGCGCTGTACAAATTGGCCAAACAACCCAAAATCAGGACCCTCCCGAAAAGGATCCTGCGACCTAGCACACACCACGCACCACACTTGTGGCACGCTGCACACCACACGCCACGCACCACACGCTACACACCGCACGCTACACACCGCACACCACGCACCACACACCACACACCACACACCACGCACCGCACACCACACACCACACGCCACACACCACACGCACCGCTCAGGTCTGCCTCTTCACCCAGCCAAAGAGAGAACGCCCAAACCGCACGCGGCCTCTCGCACATTCTTCTTCTGTGGGTCACCCTCACTGGGTGGCGATGACACGAACACTGCTCCCCGGCGGTAATCGAGAGACGGAGAAACCCTCCCTCGTGCGGCCCTCTCCCTGCCCGCTCTCTGCCCGCTCTCTGCCGGCATCACCGTGAGATCTCCCCCCCCCACCTCTCTTTTGCTGGAACGTCGCACGGCACTCGCGTGGTGCTTGGCCCGCAGCGACACTCTCCATCCCCCGCCCGCCCGCTCGCTCACCCTCTGTCAACACCCAGCCTGTTTACCGAGCCGGGGAGAGAACATGGCAGTGTGTTTTTTGTTTTCTTGCCTCCTCTCCAAAGAGAAGAAGCGTGCGTCACGCGGTAATGCCATCGGTGGCTTTGTGTGTGGGGGTTGGACTGGGGGGGGGGAGCTGTGAGTTTGGTTGCATGCCAAGAATCTGCAACCCTCTCTCCCATGAAACACGGTTAGGCAGCAGTGGCCGGGAGTTCATCATGGCTTAAGGCTACTAAGGAGAGGGTGGGTTTAACAACTTCAAAAGGCGTGGGAGCGGGGCCAGTGGTAAAATTTTAAGCTTTTAAAAATAGGGCCCTATATTAAATGCTAAATCATTGAATGCGTGTTGGTTGGTAAATATCAATAAGATAGCAAATTTATGGGTGTCAAGGGGGGAGGGGGGGGGTCAAGATTCACCCCATTGCCCCCCCCACCCCCCAGGATCCGTGACTGCTATAAAACGTCCCAGTGTGGCCGGGACAGTCCCATTAGGTTCACAACGGCTGTCCTCGTGTCCCGAAGTTAACGTTGTCTGCTGGCCTCAAGCGCAACTCCTTCCCATCGCCCGTCGTCGGGGTCACCACCAATCCTCTGCCAGGCACCAACCGCTCGAAGGCCGTTTCACCTCGGTGATTTCACTTCCGGCTGTATTTATTGTATTTGTGTGTACGTTGAACTTCTTTCGCACCGTACATAGCCAACCGTGCTAATCGGAGGTACTGGGGAAGTACAACAAACTAAATACAAAAAGCAGTTCGAAAGAAATTCGTTTTCAATCTAGCTTTTACCGCTCCAAAGTTAAAATGAACATCGGTACCTAACTACGAGTAAAACACATCGCGAAGCCATGGCTTTATTTACCAAAATCATCTTTAGGACGTATCACGGTGCTCGTGTAAAGTGTTTCAACTATTATACAGCTGTATTATTCCCGCAACCCGCAATTCCACTGCGTTAATCCGGCCCTGTATCCGGTTCAAGATTATCGAATTCAGAACTATCTCTGTGACGTCAGCTTCTGGCGATGATCGCTCTGTCACGGGGTGGTGCACCGCTAGCGTTGAGAGTTCCCAATGAACATTAACTTCGTCTCGTCACGTGACACCAATAGCACCCCGCAGTGTAAAAACAAGGCCACACACAGACGCAGATAGCTTAGAGACTCGGAGGCGTGTGGATTGATAAAAAAGGGGCTCTCTGTCCCTGTTCCTGCATGAGCTTAGCAATCTCTTTCAACCGGAGATCGTCACGGGCACACTCTTCGCGTGATTCTCACCGCAGTGTCCGTTAACCCAGAAATGAACGTGGAAGATGCCCTCTCTGTCCTGACCGGACGGCCTGTGTGAAGTCCATGCCGACGCCAAGAGCGCACTGAGCGAGCAACACGCCTTCCCGGCAGTGTTTCCCAGCACATCTTGTGCACGCTCACAGCTGGAGGACGTCGTAAAGCAATCTCGCCCTGCCCAGGGCTATTGCCAACACGTGACTCCAAGTCATGTGTTCGCCGAGTCACATGTCGGTCAGAGCGAAGCGATGGTTGACGGAAGACCCGGCGACTCAACCCGACGTTTGTAAAACTACGACGAAAAAAATTAACCGTGCGCGTGCATGGCTCACGTGATGCCTTACTAAAAAAATCCCATGGCATTACGTTTGCTTCTGCAATCAATTTGCCTAAATTCCAGCCGTGTGAATGTAAACATCGATTCATTTTGGTGGCAGAGAGGGTGGGAGATTGCTGCCTCCTTTTGTGGACCAGAGGTGACTTGAAGGGATCTCAGAGGTAACTCTGCGGTGTCCGCTTCCACGAGCCGCTCTCTAGTAGGACGGGTTGCACGCCGCTGATCGAGAGCTCGGAGCGGATGATGATTCATGTCGTGATGACTCACGTCCGATGGCGCAAATTGTTTAAAACCCACGGGGGGTTGGGGAGACAACGACGTTCATTTATTTTAAAGCCCTGCGCTGATCGGAAGAAAATCCATCGAGGACGTGAACACTGCAGCCAGAATACGTGGCGCTCATTGCAACACCGAGCCTATGATGTGGCACTCTCGTCCCCCACCCCTTCCCCACGCACGCGCTCACGACACAACCTCCGGGACGCCGCCGTGAGCTTTTGATCGCTTAAAATTTCTGTGAGAGGCGGCGTGGCTTTATCTTTCGCTCGGAAGATTAAACAAGAGGCTCTGCTGTGCCCGCAGAGGTGATGCGCGCGGCTGCAGTGCCGCGGGAATTGGCTGCGATTCGTGCTGAACCGCCCCCAACCCGGCCCCCGAAAGGTTCCGTTCCACGCGCCGCGACCTCCTTGGTCTCTCAGCGCCACAACATTCGCGCCCGCCACCCACACCACGACCGCCACCCCCTAACTCTTCCTATTGCTGAGCCGGGGTGGATCATAAACACGGACGTCGATACGGAGGACGGAACAAAAGGTTGGAACGCGCGCAAAGAAGCGTGGGGAGGTGGGTACGTTATTGTGCTTGCGCTGGCAAGGCAGGAAGGGGACGGCGTGGACTCGAGAACGCACGCGCGTTTGAGGCACCACCACACCGTCACTGCGAGGAAGAGAAAGTTGTGCTTGGGCAGGACGCGTCATGGCGACACGGGATGGTGGCCGGTGGCCGAGACTACGAGGACGGAGTAGCAGCTAAGGGAGGGAACGCGCCCGAGAGAGAGAGAGAGAGGTGGAGGATGTCCACAAGGTGATGGAGCGATTATTCGGTCGGCTTGCGTGGATGCGCTCCGTTGATGTCGCACCGCAGGAAGCACGGGAGAGGGCCACAGCTTTGGGAGACCTTCACCCAGCAGTGGATTGGTTGTGGCTGCTGCTGCTGTTCATGACGTCGACGTCGACGACGACTGTTCCTGCTGGACTAATTGGCGGAGGCGAGCGTGTTTGTATTTTTAAACAGGCGTAGGGAAAGAAAAAAACTAAACCGCTGATGCAGCGGCACAGGCGCGCAAGCCAAAGGGCCCCTCGGTGCTCATTAGCGGGGCCCCCTCGCTGGGGAGGGGGGGAGGAAGAGGCGGGGGGGGCAAGCGAGCTGCCCGTTGTAGATTGACCGCGGTGAAGACGTCCGTCTAGTCTGCTGGGTGCACAGAGGCTGTTGGGGGATATAAGAGACTTGCATCATCGTTTCAACTGCCGCGCCGGGACATTGAATCGAACCGGGCGACCTCTGGATCGCAAGCCCAGTGCGCCGCCACTGTGGCAACGTGATGGTATGATGATGATGACGACGACGCGTGTCCACCCAGCAAAGCCTCACCAAATCTCGAGACTGCTTCACCGGAGAGTCCTGCTAAGTTTTTTTTTGCATTAGCGAGCAACGTGGCTGCCGTGCGTGACCCCAGCTGAGTACGTCCGCGGGTCAACTTTGCAGCATTGGGATTTTCTGGTCGATACTAGTTGCACTGTTCGTGTTTTGTTCTCGCTATCGGAGGTAACCGGGGAAAGCGGAGGACACCCATGCAGTAGAGGGGGGAGCGAGAGAGAGAGAAACACAGAGAGAGAGAGAGCACGCAAACTCCACGCAGAAAGACGCCCGAGTCGGGAGTCGAACTCAGCGCGGACAGACGACTCTGAACGTGACGCCTTTCCTTTTTTTAAACCCCACGAGCAGCAGCAGTAGCAGCTGCGATCTGGCGTCAACAGCGCGCGCGCCGCGGCGGCGGCAGGAGAGACAGCCCGCGACACGTGCGAGGTCACGACCCGAAACAGCGCGGTGCCCCAGACAGAACAGACAGACGCATTATCGCGCGACCCCAGGCCACGTGCATTTAACACAACAACAACAAAAACGACGACGAGGACGACTACAAAATGCGTCACAAGAGAAGTCGCGGCACGGGCAGACGGAGCGAACGCCTCTGGACCTCGGTGTCGGCGTTCGTTCTTTTTGTCAGCACGCTATTTCGCTCCGGTGTGCAGCCCACGTTTTGGCCACACCTTTTGATCAATCATCATCAGCGCTAAAACTCCACGCGGCGTTACCCGCGAAGTACTCAATTTGGATTACACACAGCGAGGCTTTCCTGGGTCAATCATTGCAACAACAGCAGCAGCAGCTGTGCCTGGTTCTGTCAAGCGCGAGTCCCGAAGAGGCACGCGGCCGCATACGAGCGGTTCGTCCACACCGAATCATCTCCACGAGTTGTTGTGACCTCTCTCACCCCCAGCCCATCCCCATCACGCACGGACGGCCAGAGGAGCCAGGGCACGAACGACTTCTACCTTTAGTTGGAAGCGTAACGAGAACTTCAACGCAACTGCGCATACGAGTCTGCCCTATTAGGCAACTCGTCATTATTTGACGTTGACGTCCGGTCGTGCAACGTTGTCGACTTCTCTTGATTTTTTGTGCCGATATCCCGTTGGCATGATTTCGTGTACAGGACTATATATCTTTTTTCTTAATTAAAATGTTTGGTTTGTTTACGCTATTGTCATTGTTTTGGTGACCTGGGGGGTCACTCTCGCGAACGAGGACTCTACCCCCACCCCCCCACCCCGCCCCCTTGAGCTCTCAGCGCGGTTCCACGAAATCAACTCGGAGCTTGGAACTCGCGGGATTCCGTGCCGCGTCAAACGCCGCTCGCGGTCGGCCGAGCGCGAGCGGGGAACTCGCTGGGAGGGTTTGGGTTGGGTGGCGGCGGTGGTGGCGAGGGGGGAGCCACCCTCAGCTGTTGCCTCAACACGTGCGACCTGCTCCGCCCTTTTGCATTCCTGGTTGGCGAGGCGGTTAAAGCTTCCCCTAATTGGCACAAACAAAAAAACATCTCTCCACGTTGTGTCTCAATCAACAGCAGCAGCAGCCATGTGCCATCATCCACTGCTCTCGGCGAAGGGTTTCCAACGCCGTCGCCGCCTCTCGCGGTCTCGGCGACGCGGCAGTCCGCCTCGTGCCCAGCTCAGGGCCCTCTCCAGTTCGGGTCACGAGGCCTTCGGCCGCCAGCCGCCGTGGGTCACGACCACCGGCATGCAGGATCCCTTCTGGCCGTGACGTGTCCTGCCCAAACCCACTGACGTTTCGTAACGGTTATTACGACGTCTCTAACTCGTGTGCCTTGTGGAAAAAAACCCCATCTAAAACTATTTTAAACTATTTTATGTTGTTCTACCAGGTAAGGCCCACTGAGCTATGTAGCTTTTTTCAGAAATGACCTGGCCACCAATGATAGCTCAACGAAGTGGCTTACCATGTGGACATTTATAGCAGCCAAACACTCTAAAAATGCGCGTCTCTAAATGTGGAGGGGAAAACCGGAGGACCCGGAGAAAAATCCACGCGACCACGGGGAGAGAGACATGCAAAATCCAAATATGTAACAGGCGTTAGGATCGAACCCACGGTCTCCTGTATAGCAGGCGAGGTAATTAACATCTCGGCACCACGCCGCACCCTATGAAATAGACTAACGCTGAGAACAGTTTCTATTTTCACTTCTGCCAGCCCAATTATTGTGTTGTCGTAAGCTAAAGGTTTGGATGACGTTCATCGCTTCCAAACGGACTAACAACGAAACAGCAGCGTTAATGATGCAAGTGAAAAGTTATTTTGTGGCTGTACACACCTGTCACTCCAATCCCATAAGTGTTAATCTCATTAAATATTGCTCCAACGTGAAGATTAAACCGTGCAGGTAAGGTATCGGTTGGGGCTTGCCCTGAGCACCTAATCCGAACCTCAAAACCGGCTAATCCACTCGGTGACCAAAGCAGGCAGGTAATTCGTCCTGTCACATTCAGCCAGGTGAGAAGCTATTGCGACTACAGGTGGACACCAGTGCAGTATAACATTGCCCTGTGCCGACCAAGCGCTACGCGTGCTCAGCCCCTTCTTGGCTTCCGGGAATCTGCAGAGTTCCTCAACATTCCACCGCGGTTTTGCCGCGGGCACGCTCGATCTATCGAATGCGGTCGATGACGATTCTGCGTGAACGCGCGCACGGTGATGGCCAAATTAATGCCATGGCGGCGAGCCTGCCAGTCTTTTATTGGGGGACCCACGCACGCCGGGGCTCAGAAGCTCTTGCCACAGGCTTTGCCGAGGAGTCTCGGGATGGCTTTCCACGGCCGCTTGCGCCGAAGGGAGGCGTGGTTGGTGTGGGCGCCGGTGCAAGGAATTGAATGGGGAAGGGGGGGGAGGGCTGTTCAATTGCCCACCCCCCCCCCCTCATCTTCAAAGCCTGACGTCTAAGACCCTCCGACCCCAGCGCCACGGTGCGGTTGCACCGCCTGCACACTTGGTGGCTACGCAACTGGCGGGGAGCGCAGCAGCCCGCTCAGGGGCGGTGCCTCGGAGCCTCTTGCACAGGGGCCACATTTCCCTCCTTGCCATCGAGTCTGCAGCGTTACCGTGCTGCGTACAGCACCCTTCGTGCGGGGACCGGCCGGCAGGCCACACAGCCACAGCCTACGGCGTAGAACCTCGTCCCCACAGAGGGCCAAACAGGACTTCACGATTCCTTAGACGGGCGCACATTCATTAAGCGGATGGACAACTTCTGCGCGTGGTTGCCGAGCGCTCAGAACTCTGTGAAACACAGCAGGTAACGTGGGCGTGCTGAACTTTAAAGCAGAGTGCGGATAAGTTGCTTGCAGTGATGCACAAACATCGTTTGCGGGCCTTTTCGAAGTGGTAGGCCTCGCGTGACCACTGGCCATGAAGCCACAGGTCATATACGCCCAGTGGCCTCTAGGCTCCTCACCTCTGGTCACAACAATTGTCGGATAGCAATCCCGCAGATCCTCTTCGAAGCCATGGCAGCGCTATCCAGGCTCAACCTCCGCTTAGCTTCCGATAATGACTCGATTGGAGTATACTCTACGGAGGAATCATTGCCCGCTCTTGCGAAAACCTGGCAGGGTCCTCGTGAAATAGGGTCCTGAGACTTTCTCCTTGGTAAACAAGCAAAGTAACTAAATACATCTCACCAACTTGACTTTCCTAAACGAAAAATTGCATCAGAATAGACAACGCTGCCTTTGACAAAATATGCCACCAAAATCCCAGCGAATGCTTCGCTCTCATCGGAGGGGGAGGGGGGGCCGTAGAGTCAAGGGTGGGGGGGGGGGAGGCTGGGCACCCCTTGCTGAATGATCAGCCCCCCCAACTACATTCTTACAGCCGAGCCACAAAACGTTGGTCCCAAAAAATGTGGACAATTCAGCGATGGGCATCGTACACACAAGGCGGGTGAGACCCGGAGCAGAATGCACAATAGACGAACGCCGATCGTATCGTTACTCATTCTGTTCAGATATTATTATTTTTATTAAGTTTGTTTAACATTTACTGGCATGCCCTCCACTGCTGAGCTTTTGTTACCCCCCCCCCCAGCGCCCCGCTTCTTTAAAGCCAGGTCACGCTACAGGGCCTGGGTTCGTGTGAAGCCGCATCACAGCCACGGCTCGTGGAGCCACCCTCCACGCCCTTGTCCTGAACGCTGGAACGACGGACGTGGCTCCGTGACCTGAGCCCTTTTTGTCGGCCGTCTGCATCAGCGCAGGCTTCGACGCGTCGCCTTCCCACATCCGTGCTTGCGTCAGGGATCCGGGGCCTTTCTCGATGTCGCCGTTCACACGTGCCCGGCGCATTCCATCTCACAGCCGACGTGTTCTTGGATATTTTGTCTTGGCTGGCATAACGCATTTTTTGTTTGCGTTGCGGTCCCCAGCAGATGGAGATGGCTCGCAGGGTGAAGATGATTATCACGTTGGACTTCAGACAGTGCACATGTACATACTAGATATATATGGACATTTAAAAAAAATATCCTCACCGATCAATACGTTGGGTAGGTGACGAAACGCACACATGTACAGCCCTTTGGCCAAATGACTGCTTAAGGAATAATGTGCTATGAACAAGGGGCATTGCCCGAAACGTCGCCTATTATAGATTCCCCCTCTTATCTTATTTTATATTTATAGAGCGCTTTTGCTCAAGGAGCTTAGCACAGTTTATAAAGACG